TTTTCTTTTATCATTTGTTATATTGTTTCTGATATAGAAAGTTATTTATGTTTTCTTGTATCGTTTCTTGTGGGTACATTTTTGCTCTGTATGACACTATGCAAGTTCTTTTACCAGAAATTGTATGTGATTTGGGACATGATTAGTCGAAATTTTGACACCTATAAAAATAGAACTGCAGTACCTGAGGACTCCAAGCTACTGGGGACTGAGGACATATGCTACTGATTATTTTTTTAAATACTGTGGTGCTAAAATTAAAGAAATAAAATGTCCCAATACTAAAACTAAATTGGAAACCACAATTTTTGAAGATATTCGACAGGCTGTAATGGAAGACAGAAATAATAATTTGGTTGTAATAATTTATTTGTTTCTTTTTTAATTATGTATTTGAATGGCATGCTCTTGAAATTCTACTCTCTTATTTAGAGATATAAAATAATCGTTAAACTCATCACTAATTTTTAGAGCGGTTATGTATTGTTTTTAGTAAAACATCTCCTCCTACTTTCAGTAGTTCCGATGCTATTTGATCCAATCCCTGTGATTTATTATTTTGAATTTGGCTACTGATGTTCTAATCTTGGTTACTGTTGATGGGCACTTTTCTCTGATGTCTGCTTGGTCTAATTGTATATCAAAGTTCTCCCCCAGCCCAATCTGACAGAAGTTTTACGTTTTTGCGGCTTTGCGCACAAATTGGCGCATTTCTTGTACAAGAATATGCAGCAGACACAAATTCTTGTATCGTTTCTCATATAAGAAACTATGCATTTGTATGACACTATCCATTTTTTTGTTATATCAGAAACGATATAAGAAATGATACCAGAAAATGCATAGTGCCATACGGCCTTTAGGCACTTTAAGTTTGAGCTTTACTTTAGCTACGAGGAGAGTATGATCTGATCCACATATCGCTCCTGGATATGATCTGACTGTTTTAATTGATGATCTTCAGCGAATATTAGTGAGGATGTAGTCAATTTGATTTCCAGACCTATCTCCATTTCCAAGTATAAAGTCGGCGTACATGGTTTTTAAATCGAGTATTCATAATAGAATAGTTATTTGTGATAACAAACTCGATTAACAGTATCTCTGACCTATGCCAAACTTTCCCAGTACATTCTTTAGGACATTGTTCTGTTTAGTATTACTGACTTTTGCGTTGAAGTCCCAGCATATTCAGGTTAGCTCTTTATGGGGAGTGTTGGTACTTGTTGTTTCCATTTTTTCGTAGATTTCATCGTCTGCTGTACTGGTCAGCGCATAAATTTGTATGATATTGAATTTATGTGTTTTGCCTTTCAATTTAAGGAGAAGACCAAACACATGTTTATATTTTATGTATGCTAATAATAAGTTGCTAAGGAGAATTCTAGAATGGAGACCAAGGACGACAACAAGAAGCATGGGAAGACCTCAAAAAAGATGGGTAGATGACATAAGAGCAGTGGCAGGCAAACAGTGGATTAGATTGGCGCAAGATAGAGAAAGACGGAAGCAATTGGGAGAGACCTACATTCAGGAGTGGATGGAAAATGGTTGACAAAGAAGAAGAGAATAATAAGTTTCACAAAACAGAACGTAGCATTGTATCGAAAAGTAAATCTTTATTCTTACAATATCCCTTTCAACCAAAACAGAGTTTTTTATTATACGGTTTTTTTTCTTTTTACAGCAGCAAATATATTGCAAAAATTTATTAGAATTTAAATTACCGGTAATACAGGTACAAAAAATATCACAATCATAGTGTATAATATAATCTGTCTAGCGATGTTCAGTTCAGTCTCTGGGAAACCCTGTCTCCCAGAGACTGAACTTCACTGCCTCTGATTTTACCATCAAAAAAATATTAAAACTGTAGTCGGGAATATCTGGGGAAGGATATTTGTTGTATATAAGTATGCATTTTAAAGTACATAACTACAGTACTTGATTTTAACGATATTATTTATTTTATTTTATTTTTTTAACTGCATAAGTCTAATTTAATGTTTAGTACAGCTTTGTTAAAATGTTTTTGTTATTTATTATATTAACATCGATCTTTTCATATTAGAAAAAGTAATTTAATACACTGTGACTATTTTGTCAAAATGTATGAACGTTAGAAATTTTAGATTATTAACATTAATTAACTCATGCGGGATATAATAATTACATATCTGTCATAACTTTTTATAGTCACATGCAATATTAGAAATAAAAATATACTGCTTAATAGTCCAGTCGTCAGAGATTCAACCTCTAAAAATCATACGAACAAGCTTAATTTTAGTGAGAATACTCCCACTAAAACCCCCCATTCGTGGGAGGGAAGTGAAAAAAATTGATTTACCAAGAATCTGTAGACTGTAGAAAAAAATATTTCAAATAAAGAATATAGCTGAGATAATTTTAAACAAGAATGTTTATTAGAAATTTTAAAATCCAGGTGTGTCATTTTATTCATAGATATTTAGATATGAGAGAAATAAAGCAGTATTCATCAACATGTAAGAAGCCAAAACATCATTTTTATTAACCCTTTAATCATTCTGGCCAATAGTTTCCCACTTCTAATATCTTGAAAACGTTTAGGGGTTATAGGGAATGTTCGGCTGATATTAGGTCTTCGCCGGGTGCCTTGTTGTTCTTTGCGTCTTTTATTGCCTGCAAACATCTTCTAGGGCTCTTTTGTTCTCTGATCTCCAAACAAATCTTTGAGATATTGCTCCCATATTTCTTGCTGTTTTTCAGAGTCTAATTCTATTTGTTTTTTTTTTGTTTGTTACAATCGAGTGTTTGGATTTCCATATTCCAGCTACTTCTTTAACCTTTCTGTGTAGTTCTTTATCTTTATGCTTCATATGCAAATCTTCTACCTCTTTACATTTTTCTTTCATTCAATCTTCCTTAGCTACATTTATTTTTTTTGTCAATTTCCCTGTTGATTTCTTTGTATCTTGTTAGGTTTTATTTTTTACCATCCGTCTCATCTCCATAATTTGTAATATTTCGTTTGTCATCCATATTTTTCTATGTTTACGGTTTTCTTTCTGTATACCTTGGCCTGCTGCCTCCAAGACAGTATTTTTAATTTTCCTCCACATGTCTTCTTTTATTGTCTTCTCCTGAATGGGAGATATTGTCTTAGACTCTAACTGCGTGTCTACCACGTCTTCACACATCTGTTGCTGTTCTTGGTCAGCACTACTCCATGCTATTCTCTGACTGGGTTTAGCCTTGTCTACTCTTTTAAGTTTTAATCGGATATTTGCGACTACAGGATTGTGGTCTGAATTTATGTCACAGTTTGGGTACGTTTTTATATTTAGAATGCCATTACAGAACCTTTTGTTAATTGTAATGTAGTCGATTTGGTTCCTTACAATATTTCCTTCGAAATCTTGAGTAGACCTACTCGTATATAGACGTCTTTTAGGTAGTTTAAACCATATGGTAAGAACCACCAGGTTGTTCTCTTTTCAAAATTCAACAAAGCGTGTGCCTCGTTCATTCTTGGTTCCTAAACCATATGGGCCGATGATCGCTTCGACTTTTTCTGCTCTTACTTTGGCATTCCAATCTTCCATAAATATGTTGATGTCGTCTGATTTTATGTGTTTTTTGATCTTTTCAATATGGGAATAGAAAATCTCAAGATCTTCGTCTGGGCTGTCTGCTGTCGGTGTGTACCTATATTCGTATTATATTGATGTCGAATGGTTGTCCATTTAATTTGATAATCATTAATCTGTCGCTGACTGGTAGAAAACTTTTCGTGTCTTGTTTCATGGATGCTGTTACCAACACTCCTACACCTGACTGAGATCTTTGCCTGCATAATAGAAACGGTTGCCATTTACTGTATCCACCTTCTTATATCCTTCTTCTTTCCATCTCACCTCGCACATACCAAGTATGTCCCACTTCATTCGTCTCATCTAGTTTTCAGCATTTGCTAGTTTTGACTTGCCATATTAAATATCTTGAGAATTTAATGCGATGGTTTCCCACTTGCCTTTCGCATCCTATACCGTTGACGACGGGATGTCGTTCATCCGCCTTCAGGGACGATTTCTCCTCCCCAGGACTAGAGGGTGCCCTTGCGTCATTCATAAAAATAACGTTGAATGCTTATACCGGCAAACACTCGGTCCCCATCTGCGTCAGCCACCTAAGCTATCTACTTAAGTGTTGCCCGTCTTCTATCATGTGGAGGTGCAGATTGAGGGTTTCTCTCCATTGAGATCAAGACCATAAAAGCGTTTCTTGATACTCTCCAGTACTTTTAGAAGACTGAGAGATAGTACTTTTGACAAACTTAAAAATTTTCCTATTGATTGCCACTTTCAAATTCAAATTAGTATCTATAAAAGTTCAAATTAATATAATTGACAAGGGAAAGGGATATCAAAAAAAATTATTTGTGTAATAAATTTATAACAGAGCAGATTTTTTTATTTAAGTGAAATATTCTACCCTCCGCTAATGATTTTACAAGCTTAAGAAAATTCCAACAAGAATCTTAAAATTCCACTGCACTTCCAGAAATAAACTGTAATCGGTACCGATAGAAAGAAAAGTGTAAAGAAAATATAAGGAGGTAAAATGGGCGTAGGTAAACGTTTTCTTTCGTTTTATGAATGCGTTTGTAATGTTATGTATAATCTTATAGCTGACTTATAATAAAAGAATATTTGTATTTTTAAGATTATTGATAAAATGAGTAATGGACAGATTATATGAAAGATTAATGGGTTAAACCTACCAATATCGTAAATTGTTGACAACTGTCAGTATCTAAGTTAGTAAAAAATCTAAAATAAATTCGTATAATTAAGGACGATCCGATCAAATGAGTGCTAAATAAAAATAAGAACAAACTGCATGAATATTGAATTATTTTACCACTATTATATTTGATTTGAGAACTCCTCCGTTACAGACCTTTACACGATTGTATTATAGAAGAAGACAATCATAAACAAATCTTACTAACCTCAAACAACCTCAATCAGTCGGCTTTACTCATCTGTCAAATATTCAGATTAGTTTAAAAACAATTATGACAAAATGTCTCTAAAAAAATCTACGAGTACACATACTGATTCAGTTTCTACAATAAGAATAATATCAACATGTTTAGCAGCTATAATTTTGAGATACTATTTGATGCTTTCCAAGTATCAGTCAGTCATAGCAAACCATGTAGAAGTATCAACGCCCTTAAATTCATGGAAGAGGGTATCAGAAGGATTGTATTTATTATCCCTTAATATTAATCCATATAATGGAGATGTTTTGCACGAGACACCGTTGTCATTATATTTGTACAAGACTAGTTTACAACTGTTTCAAGGGAAAGTACATTTAATTTTTATAACTTTGGAAATAACAACGTCCGTTGTTTTGTATTATACCATAAAAAGATTTGCTGCAGTAATATATGAAGAAGAAGAAAGGAATAAAAATACTTTCTCGAAAGATGCGGAAGATAATTTATTAAAATCTGAAAAAATATTTAGAACTCCTTACTATGTTCTTTTGGCCTACTTGTTTAATCCTTATACTTTATTGAACTCTGTTGGTTTCTCAACTACAGTTTTTTATAACTTTTACCTCTCAGTTGTACTATTTTCAATGGTTTATGGATTACCAGTAGTATGTGGGGTGTTTCTGGCTATGGCAGCATCAGTGTCATTCTATCCATTAGTTTTATTGTTACCAGCTAGTTTTTACTACAAACAGATCTTTAGAAGTACACTGAAAACTGTAACATGTGTAATTAGTTTTATTGTGGCCTCATTATGGATTGTGTTAGTGTGCAGTGACAATGGTAATGACTTTAGTTATATAAGAAACGTTTATGGTTGTATATTGAATGTTCCAGACTTACAACCAAATATTGGACTGTTTTGGTACTTCTTTACTGAAATGTTTGAACATTTTAGAGAACTGTTTATATACGCTTTCCAGATCAACACAACAATTTTATATTTAGTACCAGTTTCTCTTAAATTTAGAAAACAACCATTTCTGTTAGCCATTGCAATCAATTTTATAATAACCATTTTTAAATCTTATCCCAGTGTTGGGGATGTAGGATTTGTGTTAAGCATAATGCCAGCTTTTCCACATCTCTTTCAGTTTAGCCAACAAGGATTTTTAGTTGGAACAATGCTGATCATTTCGTCATGTTTAGGACCTATAGTGTACTATTTGTGGATTTATTGTAATTCGGCAAATGCTAATTTTTATTTTGGAGTCACATTAGCTTTTGCAGTAGCTCAGATATTCTTGTTAACAGACATTTTGTTTGCACAAGTGCAAAGACAATACATGTTAAAATTTGGAAAAGAAAGAAAAGTTGATGGAGAAGAAGGGACTCTTTGTTTAGAATAGTTTCACAATAAAATTGTGTTTGTAATAAATGGTTTTTTTATCATATAATACCCAAAACTTTGACTATTAGCCACTATAAGGTCAGCATGCTGTATGGTACTGAAACAGATTTTATTTTTGTTTTCGATATAACTTGAACAAAAATGATGATCAAGTAACTCAACTAAACTGTCAAAGAAGGTGGTAAAGGAAGAGGAAGTTAACACCTTACTTCAAACTGAAGAATTGTTCATATTGATCGCTACATAATCCATCTAAGCTATAAATATATCAGTCACTGTTTGCTGCATTATCCCTCAAGTCAATTATAAATTGATCAAAAATTGCATTAAGTAAAGGTTTTTTAGACACAAATCTATCTTCAATTGAATCAATTTTATCAATTTTTTTCCATTCTTCAACAGAATATGTATAAAAAAGAACTCATCAGATAATTCCATAACTGAAATCATTGTGCCATCATCATTTAGATCCACATGGTAGGGTGACAATTGTAATACCTCAACCAAAACTTCATCTAATATGGTAAATTGAAAACTTAACAAAACGAGGCTTATGTACTTTAATCAATTCATATGACTTTCTTTCCCTACGCCATAGTTGCATATCTGCTTTTCTAGATGTAAAGTTAGGTATTTATCTTGTTTATTGTAATATATTGCAATGTCTAATATTATAACTTTGATTGGAAATAAATTTATTAGAAGTTTATTTGTAAGACACTTCCGGAATTCTTGTTGTTCTCGAAGTTCATATCGCCTTTAAGATCACTGTTGATATGTCTACCTCAAATGTGCATTCACTGTTATTACCAACAAAAACAATAATAAACCTGTGTTCTTCAGAAACTTCCTCAGACTGCTACAGCTTGTATTCACTCCAATTGTTTTTTTAACCGATCTGAATGCCAGTATCTCATATCTGAAAACAATTGTTCAGTTTTCTATTATTTTTGGTTTTTAGTCCAAAGAAATCCTATATTATCTCTTTTCGGAGAGTTTCTCTGCTTCCAGTGTGACCTATTCTTCAACAAACTTTACTGTCAGAAGCATTTTTCCTTCAAGATGAAAATTTATAATAAACAGACTTCACAAACCTTTGTCAAATTCATCCAGTTTTAGTTTGATACTCTTGTTTTTTAGGCAAAGAAGAGAACTTATTAATATTAGTTGAGCTACCACATTCTATTTATTAAATAAAACAAGTATTCTGGGACCAAAAATAATTTGATTGAACCTACTTCATCATCATCATCATCTTGGTGCTACAGCCCTTAGAGGGCCTCGACCTTATCAAGCTTTCTACGCCATTCTGTTCTGTCCCTTGCTTGAATTTTCCAGTTGCCGACTCCGATCTTCTCCGCATCTTGTGTTACCCCATCCATCCACCTCAGCTTTGGTCTACCCCGTGGTCTCACTCCCACAGGTTGCGCTGTTAGAATCTTTTTTATCATGTTCGATTCAGGGGCCCGGGCTACATGTCCTGCCCACTGCAAGCGGTTTCGCTTAATTATAGTGGTAATATCTTTACCACCAAATGTATGCTTGTAGATATTCTGCAGTTCGAAGTTATATCTACGCCTCCATATTCCGTTCTCACAGACCGCTCCAAATATCTTGCGTAGCACCTTTCTTTCAAAAATGGATAGAGCGGATTCATCTGTTTTCGTTAGCGTCCATGCCTCTGATCCGTATGTGAGAACGGGGACTATCAGTGTTCTATACAGCCTTATACGAGTTTTTTGAGACAGACGTTTGTTAGCTAAGTACTTTGATAGACCATAATAACACCGGTTTGCAATTATTATTCGCCTTTTTATTTCCTCAGATGTATTATTATTGGGGTTAACCGATGTCTCTAGATATATGAACTCATTGACTGCTTCGAAGTTTTGGTCATTGATGATTAAATTTGTGTCAACATTTCCAGCTCTTGTGTTTGTGTTAGTCGCCATGAATTTGGTTTTATTTTGATTTATATGTAACCCCATTCGTTCTGCTGCTGCCACTATCTCGGTTAGGATTTCCGCAGTTCTCGCCCTAGTTCTTGTTATATTGTCCACGTCGTCTGCATATGCTAGAATTTGGACTGATCTATTAAATATTGTTCCCCTGCTATCTAAATTAGCGTCTCGTACAACTTTTTCTAAGGCGACATTAAAAAGCTGACACGCCAGCGCATCTCCCTGCCTTAACCCCCTATGTATTTGAAATGGGGTTGACGAGTCGTTTTGAATTTTTACTGCTGATAGCATCTTCGCCATTGTCACTTTTATCAAACATATGAGTTTTTTTGGAATTCCTAACTCATTCATAGCGTTGTAAAGACTTGGTCTTAAGACACTGTCATATGCCGCTTTAAAATCGACAAAAATATGATACATATCTATGTTAAACTCTTGCGCTTTTTCGAGGATCTGTCGTAGTGTAAAGATCTGGTTAATGGTTGAACGTCCAGGCCTGAATCCTGCCTGATATTCCCCTAGAAACATTTCAGTATAGATTGAACCTACTTACCTTAGTACAAATGTGCACATAAAAAAAGTTACAGCCCTTTGAAGAAGAGAAAAAATTAAATATAGAAAGAAATTATCTTATTAATATTTATCTTCCTCAAGGTTCTGGCAAAATGTAATCTATTTGAAGGCATTATGGTTTTGAGATTTTCAATAAGGGCTTCTTTTTTATCTTTTGATACTCCACATGGAGATGTAAATGTCTGAGGGCTCATAAGTTTTTTATTTAAAACTTAAATTTGAAGAAAATTCATTCCAAACATACTATTGGAGTTATTTGTTAACTTAATTCACACTTAATGTGTGAATTTTGTTATAAAATTCACACAGATATCACTTACAAAACAATTCTGTGGTACTAATCATTAAAAGCCATCTTAGCGACTTATATAATCCAAACATATGTTCTGGAAATAACCGACCGAGGCCAAATTTTGGCTGGTAACACAAAATTCCAGAAGATCACCGGAGAGCAGAACATTCGGCAGTGCAAGTTCTGGATTCGCTAAGCACAGGAGTGAGACAACATTATAGTAATGTGTAATGTTTTATAGTGATATATTATGTTTAATTTATTATTAAATGACTTGCGCATTATTAAAGCCACACACTCTTGTACTTTTTTAGATCTTAATCAGATATTAACGTTAATTAATATTTATTTTTCACTGAACTTTCCATTTTAATTCCAAAATGTACCTATTACACTTCAAAGAAATATTTAAATCCTTGACAACACTCATCGTCCAGCCTTCATTTATCACTTCCACCGCTGGACATAGGCCTCCCTTAAACTCCTCCATTCTTTACGATTTTGTGCACTTTGTTGCCAATTTATGGTGATGAGCCTGATGTCGTCAGCCAATGTGTAGATAGTCTTTCTCTACGACGTTTGTCAGCTCTTGGCCTCTAATCTGTAATTTTTCTCGTCCATTGTGAGTCGTGCATTCTCAGTACATGGCCTGCTCAGCATAGACTGTTCCATTCTTCTCTGTGCCAATCTCAATTTCGAAGCCGTAGTCTCGGTTAGAGTCATAGTTTCCGCCTCATGGGGTCATCACCGTTAATATACATTGGTCAAATACTTTTCTTTTGGTATGTTGGCCCTAAGTGTCCCGCAGTTTTCCAAGAGCTGCCCACGCTAATGTAATTTGTCTTTGTATTTCTCATGTTTGGTTATCCCTGCTGATTATTTCATGACCCAAATACGTATATTTTTCCACCAGTTCTACCACTTTGTCTTGAATAGTTAAATGGTTATTGGGGGACCATATTTTATTAACTTAGTTTTGGTCAAGTTCATTCTGAGGCCCACCTTAGAAAATGCAAAGTCCAATTCATTTAACATATATGTTGCTTCTCCCAAATTATCTGTGAGAAGGACAATGTCATCTGCAAAACAGAGATGGTTAAGCTTTTTGCCATCTATTGTTACTCCTCTGTGGTCCCAATTAACCATTTTAAAGGCATGCTCTAATGCTGTTATGAATAATTTCGGTAGCAATGGATCTTCTTGCCTTATCTCATGTTTTATTTTTATTGGTGGGGTTTTTGTAAATAAGTCCATTATACATATGGTCAATCCTGCTGTCAATCATTGCTTCTATAAGGCTATCTGTTTCAATCATTGTGTGCGAATGCTTTATGAAAATCTATGAAAGTGAGGAAAAGAGGTTTGTTGTTTGTTGAACGGAATCTTGTTTGCTCTCTCAGTTGGTAGAAATCTAATTTTTTCTCCAATCTTGATATCACTAACTTGACAACACTGAAGTGAATTTAATGTTAAGAACCTGATCTCTTGTGCTTAATGGTCACAGAAGAAATGAATTATGTGATAATATAAAATTTGGTCAACACACAACAAACATTTCTCACTTACCATACTGTACTGTACATAAAAATATGCTTTCCGAATATATGAATCTATTTGGATGATTCAATATGTTGATTTTCTTTGTTGCTATGTATTACACATATATAGAAATTGGACAGTGTAAGAAGGTTCTAAAAATATTCATATTTGTAGATCTTCATAGCATATTTTTCTGCAATTCACACGTTTAATTTTTTCTTAAATCAACATGCTACGACTTATGTTATTTCTTATCAAATCAGTAGTAAAAAGTACAGTGTGCTTTTTCGCTAGTTTAGCCACAGCAATATTTTACTTTGCTATGATACCTATGGTGCCTAGATACCAAGAAGAATTATAAATAAGGTAAAAAATTAATAATAATTTATTATTAACATTAATAACAATATGAATTATGTTTAAAATAACATTATCCTTTACACTATATTGGTCTCATTTCCAATTGGTTTAATTCTTTTGATATCCTTGTATTTTCCTTTTAAACCATGTTCTTGTATTACAGGATGATACCTATCACATACTTCATACAGCTAAAAATAAAAGAAAACAGTCTGTAAAGTGATCAACAAAAGGATAAAAATATGTTAGAAGAAAAAATGGTTTAAAAATGGATATAATAAAGAAAGTTGATTTAGTTGCCTGCCTGTTTGATTGTGTTTGCAAATAATATAGACACATATAGAAGGACATTTCAAATGGAAGATTTGGTCACAGTATCTGATTGTTTTAAAGGATACCTTTCCAAGTTTTTAATATGCCTTGAAATGGGCAGTCCTCAATGCTTTATACAAGACCTAGTCAATCATATAGACTAGGGTTTGCTCACCCTCCTTGATCTTCCGATCTTCCATCCTTTTTTTTTTGAATACTCATTAGCACAGTTCACCCTCAGAGCCCCTTCACTAAACAATGTTTTATGGAACTGTAGAAGTTTATTCTGACCTCCGATAGGAGCCTTAATAATGACTTTTTGTTGCTCTCTAAATGTGGACTTACTTGTTACCTACTAAAATACTGTAGAAAAACAAAAGACATTGTTGTCTATATGAAAGAAAAAATAATTGTAATTTATGGTAAAAAATAACTTATTAATAAAAAACTTGAAATATAAGCGTTTATAGGAATATAAGCTACACATGCACGGTGGAAAGAGGCAGATTGGCAAATGTGTTTAAAAAATCCACTGGTGCATATGCAAACTAAGATCAATATTAGTATTCCTCAAACAATAGATAATTCTGTTAGGTATATATCATTGAACTTAAAAACACATTCATAGAGAAACAGTTTTAAAATAAAACAATATTACATCATATATAGTGGAAGTTGTATTTTAACATGTAGACTTACTTGTCTAATTATAGGTTTCAAAGCATCTTGAGACAAATTAATAAGATCTAAAATGAGATATGTCAAAATATTCCATTTTCTCTTTAAAAGACATTCAACAATTGTACTCAATATGTAACTAGGTGATTTCCATGAATGTTTTTGAATATTTCCAGGAGTTGAAGCCATGTTCGGAATACACTTTAAAACACTTTTATGTAGCTTAACAGGTTTCTCCTTGTGGCTAAGTTGGTAAAGTACTTTTTTCAATTTAGATTCTTGTAAAACATCAAGTGCCCTATTGAAGTCATCCTCTATCTCTATTGGTTTTTTTTGCCTACTTCTACTAGGAGGAACACTACTAAATATTCTTTTTCTCTCATCATCAAGTAAATCTCTACGAACATTCTCTGCTATTTCCTCTTCATCCTCAGTGTCTAAAACAGTTGATAAATTCAAGCTTTTCTTCTTTTCTTCCAAAATAGATTCCACTAATTTCGTTTTCTTTGGCAAATATTCTTCTGGAAAATATTTATTTTTATACATAACTATTTGTAATGTTCTCAGCCTTTTTGAAGATATATTTTTAGAATTAGACCGAGTCATCCTTTCACAAACATTTTCTGGCGTTTCTTCATTTATTAGGTTTATAGAATCTGTTAACTTCTTTATTTTTGTATCTTTTAGTTGTGCCTTCTTTGGTAAATGATTTTTAGAAAAAAATTTTTCAGGAACCACTTTTAGGGTTTTTATTTTGCCGATAGATTCTCTTTTTTTGGGACTAAGAGAGCTAGAAGATTTTGACTTCTTGTTCATTTTTGAGAGTCCAGTTAATTTACTGTTATTAAGTAACTTAAACAAAGATTATATATAATATCATTGGGTATGCATAAATTAGTTATATAAAGTAATATTACTTTGACTTTTCTAATTAATATATGTCAACATTAACAATAATAATTGAACTTAATCAACAATTCTAACTACTTTTCTTGGCTTTTTGGCACCTTTTTGAGGCTTTTTTTTGGTTAGGTTAGGTTACCTACTTTGTTTTTGGCGCACTTAATGATCTTGAACTGCTTGACAATTGACATACATGTGGTGCTTAATGACAGGTGACAATTGATACTTTATTGTTTTTGATCACAGAATATGAATATTCTAGGATCATCCTGGCCTAATCACAGAATAATAAACAATCAGAAGGGCCACTCTCAGATGCCGCCTTTGAAGTTTTTCAGCACGCGCGCCATGTTTTAGGAGGACACAGACAAATGATTTGTGTGGTTATGTAATTGTTTATATTTATGTTTAATTATATTATATTTATGTTATTATATTTAACAATGTTAATATAATTGTATAGTATGTCTATGATTGCCGTAAGTCAAATAAACCTGGTTAATTTTTCCATGCACACCACAAACAACACTAATTTCTTTAAAATCCTCCAAAAACATGGCGGAACGCCTGCGCGGAGGAGATGCGCGTACTTAATTTTCCGTGGAGAGTGGGTATTCTGTTTGTTTATTATTCTGTGGCCTAATGTTGTTTATATAGCAATGACGTATAATATATTGAATAAGAGAATAATAAAAAATCAGAATGCCAACTCTGCTTGAAAAATAAGTACGCGCAGACGGAATCAGCCATGTTTTAAACGGAGCCAGTGCTGTTCAGTGACATTTTATCTGACATGCATAGACAACTTAACCCGGTTTAATTTATTTACGGATTTCGCTATTCATTATAATCCTTTTTTTAAATGAACAGCAGGAGTGTAACACCACTGCGGCCATATTGTTATTATTATTTTCCAAACAAATGCTCAAACTCAGGACTTTCTAATTTCTCAATAAAGTTAAGATTTTGCTTTCTCCGCTGCTTTTTGTTTTAAGTATAGGCTTTTATACGATAATACCATCATAATTCAGTGTTTTATTTCTATAAAATATAGTTTAAATTAAAGAAATTCGAGCTTTACTTTATTGATCCATGCATTTTATTGCCATTTTTATAAAACAACATGCTTTATTATTTACAACTTATAAAATTGTTGTAGTAACTATTAGAACACTTAGATATTGCTAAAAGCGGAAAGATTCTGTTAAAAAAAAATGAAAAAATAACGAAAAATACAAATTATCCACAGTATTGTTTGTTTGGAAAGTGAAACTGACAGATGTCAATAAATATACGTCATTACTCCGGCGTTCCATAAATTTTGAAATCACATAATGACACATGTCGTTAATGACATTTTGTTGACATTGACAAGTTGGCAAAGTAAAAGTCGGGATGGCCACCTCATCCTAACGTCTAAACAGACTGGTTGCAATAATTTAGAATTGTTAGTATACCGTGAAATTTATTTGAAATTTGATAAGATGGATTTCAGTCATTGCTTCCTTGTTTTCATTAGTCTTATAGTTTGTACAAACTGTATTATGTGGAATTTAAAACCAAATAGTCGAAAATGTTTACGGGAGGAACTTCAACAAAATATACCTGTAGTCGGGGAATTTGATGTTTCAGAAGCCCCTGGACAAACAGTCAATTATGTTGTAAGTATAAAGTTCTGTTCTTTAAATTGTTTCATTGAATAGATGTTTAAAAGTCGCCAAGGAGCTGCTTCTTACAGATCTTTCAATTTACACTAACGTGTTCTCTTTATGCCCGTTTGTGATTAACTCACCTGTAAGCGACCAAGTAAGTTTGGTTACAAATACTACTACTGTTTTTAGGTAACAGATTCCAAGGGTCATATATTGGCAAAAAGAGAAGCAATTTCCAAAGGAAAATTTTCTTTTAACACCGAGAGTTTCGATACCTACGAAATCTGCTTCATATCACAAGTTGCACCTCGTAAGTACTTTAATACAATACATGCTTTTTCTTGTACTAAATGTATGAACCTTTTTAGATATAGCTGGAGTAACTCAAGAAGTTTCGTTGGTTACGAAGCATGGTATAGAAACAAAAAATTATGACACTGTAAGTAATTTTATTCTGTATTATATTTAGTTTAGACTAGAGGTTTAGGACCTATTATAGCCGGGCCTGTCTATGTACGCCTGGCACATACGTCACAAATTTTTCTATTTATAATTTAATTGTCAGTTCCTACTATAGTAGTACAAAGTATAAAACAGGTACATATAAAGATGAGAAGTACTGCCAATCATTTTTTAAACCCGATCACAATATCAACAAATATTTTCAAAAATAAGAATAAATTGTTTTACTTGTAATATAAAACTGTAACCCTGGCTGGTTATGAAGATGGTAGTAATAACCCAGAGTTTGAATTATATTGCAATATATCTCAGAATTGTTGAAAATAGTTAAAATATACTAGAGTAAATTAACTTGGAATGATCTTGTTCATGAATTTTATTAAAATACTTGCAAATAACTCTTGTGTACATATCTTTGACATACTTATATATTAACATAGACTGAACATGCCAGCAATGAGCAGTAACAACATTTTTTGTGGTTGTTTGATATGGCTATCTCTAGTGCATTAACACTCCTCACTCACTCTCTTAACCAAATAGAGATGCTGCTATACTTACTAGATTTAAGATAGAGACAAAACTAGTAAAGGAAACAAAGATGGTGTCTTCACTTAGCTCTGCAGACTGCTTGGTCTGTGTTAGTATATATTTATTATGAGTTTCTTATTTGAGAGTAACTAATCATCCAAAAGAAGGAAGACTTGCTCTAATTACATTTTTTTATGGTTAGTTATTTATTTACTAAATTATAATTATTAACATTTTGAATATTATTACAGTATGGCGAAGCTGCACAACTTAAACCAATTGAGAAAGAATTAAAAAGATTGGAAGATCTATCTGATGCCATTGTCCAAGATTTTGCAATTATGAGAAAACGAGAAGAAGAAATGCGAGATACAAATGGTAATTATATTTTTGCTACAAGGGTTTTTGTATGTCGCTAAAAAATGTATGCTAATGCATATTAATTTATTTAGTAAATTGTTTTCTGCATTTATAAGTATTGGTCTGAATTTAGAGACAGATTAAATGCAGAAATAATTTAAAAAGCCAATATAGCAACAGTCTCACTTACTTCTAAACAGTAAATACTTATTAAGTGAAAGTGTTTTGTGATAATATGCCTACATATTTATATATTTATACCCCTTACCTTGTCAGTGGCTCTAGTTTGTCTGTGTTAGAATTTTCAGTGCCTTTGTGTTTTATATTTTTAAATCATGATTTTTATTTCTTAGCACTGATATCTACATCCTGTTTAGTTGCAAACAAACACTCTTATCAACAGAGAGTAGGTTGAGAGTCTACTAAGCACCTGTGTTTCTTCAAATAAAATCTGGTAGTGTGATTTGTGCAATAGTGTGTTCTGCAATGATATTTCATAGTGGCCAAAAGGACAGTTTCTCCTGCAACTAAGGTCACTAATTTAATGTTTTGCTTATTCATTTCTAAAACATATTTTCTTGTAATGATGATTTTTCTCAGTTGATATCCATTGTCCAAAATAAATGAGTTTGCAGAAATTTCTGAATTGCAGAAAACAGCCACTTTCAGCGAAGAAAAAAATGATCTCTTCGATCATGGCAATGCACATACTTAAACCTCCGTTGTCGTGGCCAAATTGGTCGAATTTAGCTACCAGGTGCAGCTTCATCCACCTTAATCTCCAGATTTGGCCCCATGTGACTTTTTCTTTTTCAAACTTAAAAAAGCCACTGGTCAGGAAGAATTTGAATCAAATGAGGGCGTACCTCGAGAAAACATATTTTTTAGAAGGGTTAAAGAAGTTAAAGCATCTCTAGGTCAATTGTATCGAACTAAAAGCTGACTGTTGAAAAATAAATTGTCACTTTTACAAAATATTTGTCTTATGTGGGCTAAAGACTTATCTGATCGTCCTCATATATCTATCTTTCAAAGAATTTTTATTATTAAGTCATGCCTGTCATTAAAGAAGGCACCTCAATTAATAGCCCACGAAAAGAGTGTAACACTTTGAACCAAGATAGGAGAGCTTTTCTGGTCTCTTATCCCTAAATAAAACGCAATTGTGGGTTACTATTCATATCTCCAAATTCGTTTGGCACAAATTTATATCCTATTGTATATACTAAATACATTTGGTTTGTTTTTATTTATTTATTTCAACGGTAGAACCATTTACAATAGAATTTAAAAAAATAGTAAAAATTAAAGATTATGTACAATAGACATCAAAACAACAACAAAGAAACATTAAAACAGTATATCAAATCACAAAAAGTAAAAAATATCACATATTTAGATTAATTAGACTCTTAAGTTGCCGTTTGAAAACATTACTATTTGGACAGAATGGATCCAATAGGAGGTCATTGCAAGAGCTGAGCATTTTCGACAAGGGAAAATGATGAACATAATCAGTTCTATGAAAAGAAATATAAAAAAGTGCAGTGTGTTGAGTTCTATGTATTGTGTTTAAGCACACATTGCCTAATAACAGGAACAAATAATAACGTTATTTAGAATTTTAAACAAAAATAACATATCAGCTCTCATCCTGCGGTTCTTCAGTATAATAATGTTAAATTGAGACATTATTACAGAATAATCTATGAAATAATTTTCAGTATTTGTTATATTAATATCTGCTTTAAAAGCTAAAGATCTTAGAAACTTCTGCTGAACGTTCTCCAATCCATCAATGTAGACTTGATGAAATGGGGACCAAACAACAGAGCAGTATTCAAGACCTGAGCGTACCAGAGAGCAATACAATATTTTGAATACAATAGGTGAGAAATTGTGACTGTTATGATAAATAAAACAAAGATTATGAATTCCTGTTTCCCTAATTTTAAGTAAATGGCTTCTAAATGTCAATGCACAATCCAATAATACACCCAAATCTCTAATCTTATTAACTGAATCCAAGAGTATATCATTAAGAACAAATCTATTAGTTATTACATTATTTATATGACCAAATGAAATACAAGAATATTTAGTTGGATGTAAGCTTAAACCATTTTGTTTCGACCATATATTATTTATCTTATCTTGCAAGAGATCTCTATTTGATTTTTCATGTATATAACGAAATAACATCATCATCAGTAATCATCAATAAATATCAAGATGTGTGAGTTTTTGATAGCCTTTTGATCAATATCGTTAATGAACAAGGTAAAAAACAAGAGACCACAATGAAACCCTGTGGGACACCAGGACAACAATGGAATTATTTTGATATATAATTGTTAATATGAACTTGCTGTGACAGCACCAAGGTATACAGCACTAATGACTAACTTTTTTGTGCCACACATTACCTGTATAAAAACATGTTCCACAGACGAATCAGTAGGCCTAAACATAATTGAAGAATGATGTTTAGTTGCTTATGAACAGTAATAAGAACACCACCACCACGAGTCTTTGAACTAGTTTGAGTGTCCCTGTCATGTCTATACACATTAAATTCGCTCAATCCCAATTCAGCATCTAATGTTCTAGATGTAAGCCAGTTCAATAATAATAATCACTGTAACATCATAACTAGAGCATGTCTGAAATTCTGAAGTTTAGTGCACATACCGCCAAAATTCTGAAAATATAAGCTCAATGATCGTTTTTTGAATTATTGGATTTACTGACAATGATTTTGGGTACCCCATTAAAGTACTTAGTCTTCAAATCATTCTCGTCCTGTTTTTCTGCATTCTAACTCCTGATAAAAAAAGGTTTAAAGGTGCTGTTCGTTACACCTACTTTATTGAAAATTCCTTGGACCTCATTCCTTGTTTTATTTTATTACCACCCGATTTGGATAACTGACCTACATAATTGGTGAAAAGTGAATCACTCAGAACTTTCATCATAATTTATATTTCTCATTTCTAATAAATGTATAAAAAGTAAAAAATATTTTTTGGAAATCTTTTGTAGATTTGTCACTTTATAGACTATAGTATTAACATGTTTATGTACTTTTTTAGAGTCAACAAACAGCCGTGTACTATACTTCTCGGTATTTTCTTTGTGCTGCCTGATGGGATTAGCCACGTGGCAGGTTCTGTACTTAAGGACTTACTTCAAGGCGAAGAAACTCATCGAATAACGAGAAGGAAGGGGTATCTACCTAGATTTATTTTTGTAAAAAGAACTGTCACAATTACTGTAAAAACATTGCGAAGATTTTGTGTTATTTATTTGTACATCTTGGTCTGTTTTGTACTAAATAAGTTGTTAATAAAAGTTCAAAACCTCAAAGGTTTTATTCACACTGTTTTTTTAAATGTATTGTTTTATTTAATTCAGAAATATCTAAGTGTATTCTAAAATTATGGCGCAGATTAAAGGGGTGATAGTGAGGACTACTTGCATGGCTAGAAAAGACACAGTGTTCATTTAATTGAATAACAAAAAAAAGGTAGGTCATATCCATATTTACGCAGCAAATGTACAGACATGTACAGAAGCTGAAATTAATTCAAAAAATGCGCAGAATTAGTTAAAAACTAGCAGTGCAGAGAAACAGAAAGAAAAATAAGTTAAATATAAGGTTAATGCCCTACACAAAAAGATTACAGAAAAAGTAATAGAATGAATACTGAAGGAAGGGATATAGGAGAAAAGTGCTAATGGGATTAAAGTAGAATCTGACTCAGATCCCTGAGTTTATTAACTGCCCCTATGTATTCAAAAATTAAATGAAAAAAGAAAACAAAAAACGAAATTTTTGGTTTAAGTTAAAAGGGGAATTGAAACAAAATGAGCCAACTCCTCATGCCAACTAAATGAAATTTGATTCAAAAATAGACAAGTTAGTTGTCATCATCAAAGTTATTCTTGAAAGACGTTCAGAATATTTCAGTGAGCTGAGAATACATGAAAATTAATGTTTAGAATGTTGGATAAATTAAATGTTACATTCCTTTGTTCCCGATCATTCTAATCTATTTTTAATATTAAACACAATTTATATTTACTAACGCCGCATCAATCTAAGATTCTAAAGAACTTTTATTGGTTTAAATCTATAATCCTAATATCTATAAAACTATATGTTAAATAATTCAAGAACCCGTGGTTAAAGGTCTCACTGCACGATCACCACGTTCATAATGTAGTTAATCAAACTCCCATTTTTAGATACATTTAAAATTAGGAGAATCATTGATAATAGGTTGCCAGTGAAAAAGTGGTCGCAAATATTTTTAATTCAATTCATAATTATTAATTTTTGACAAAAAATTTATTTCCTTTATTTTTTAAATAAAATACGCTGCTCATGACGTATATGTCTGTTTTTTTATATCAAATTAAAGATATTATTTTTCTTAGTATGATGATATAAGTTTTCCTCAGTTTTCCTGAGAAAAAAAGCTCGAAAATTAGAGTTGTCAGCTATTAAAAACGCGATGTATCGAAGATAAAGTAAGACAGCTACCGCACAACCCTGCTCTTACAACTCTGTTTGTAAAATAATACATTCTCAGACAAGAAGAAGACGACTCCAACCTCCAATAACTCTGTTGTTGACATGTGACATAATGCTAAACGAAAATATTTATCATTTAAAATTTAAACAATAAAAAATTTATAATTGAAATGGAACCTAATAGTACAAGTCAAAATTTTACCAAAAGACAGTTAAGGAATCACTCTCCCTACAAGCGCCGGTATTTTTATCCCTACAACGGAAGATTTCGGTAGAGTATTATTATTAGGGCCTTTTATTATAATTGTTTTTAACACCGTCTTTTTATTATTATTGATTACTTTGTTATAGGCCAGAAGATGATTATACGTTTAAAAAACATTATTACCGACAAGAAAAAGTGCCCAAAACTAAATATAAATGGAAAAGAAAGTCAAGGCCTGCATCTCCCATGGAAGGTAGTGAAGAATATATGTCTCAGAAAATACAAAAAACTAGTGCCATAATAATGCGTCATTTATTAAGTCCAGACGAAAACATTATTCCACTTAAAAATGATGTAAACATTCCCATGGAAGCTTCAATTAATCAAAACTCAAAAATATCCAATGAAAGAAAAAGAACTAGAAGTCTTTGTGTTGTTGAATCAACATTGTCCAAAGCTTCCAATATACAGTTGAGTGAAAACATATACCATCAAACCCCTGATACAATTGACACAAGTGATAATATAAATCAAACACCTGTCACCTACAATGTGGACGAAATTCATTGTAAAATCATGAACCATTTAAGTAATCTCAATGATAGAAGAAAGAAAACTTTGATAAGTACTAGCACATCTGTGTATGATGAAGCCATTCATCAAATTCTTAAACAGAAGAGGCTTGAAATATCAAGGGCTCTAAGGAATGTACAGATGAAAACTCCTAATGTAACAGAATCAACAGAATGGATCAATTCTATTATACCAGATATGGGAATTAAAATTGAAGATCTGCCACATGAGGTTCTTGAAGCATTGCAGAACACTTTTAATGTTTCAGATGAAGAAGATAATGTGTCTAACACTAAATTTGTGGGTGAGTCCTAGAAAAATATCAAATATATGTTAATAAGAGTCTCATTTTACTTAAAGAATGTATGTGAACATTGTCACATGTAGCACTTGGTGTCACTGATTTTCTTTGTTACTTTATATGACACATGCTATCTCAAATATCTTTATATTGGTAAAAATGGTAAAACATAATTTTTACTAATTTTCCAAATACTTAAAAATGTAGTACTTAAATCCCAATAGATAATAATAGACCGGATTCATATATTAAAAAATCTAAAGCATCTTTTATATTAAAACATAAAAAAAAGCATATTTAATAATTCTGAAGAATCAAGTATACCTAGGAATTAAAAAACACTACTATGTATTCAAAGTAAATCTAATGACCTAATACACTGTTAAATAGCATCTAACAATCAGTTTAAATCAAGGGGGCATATTCCCTTTACTTTAGTAATTAATTGCTAGTTAGTGACACTCAGAAAGAAAGTATGAAAATCTTTTTTAAAAGATTGCAATAATGTCATTAGTATTAAAATCAAGTACTCAATGCTACTGGAAAAAGAAACATGTGTACATGTGTAGTACTGTGCTTAAAAACAACAGACTACAGGTGTTTCAAGTTTAAGTATTAAACTGAAAATTAATGCTAAATTGCCACATATTATTTTATGTCTTAAATGTTCTGTTCTGTTGGTATGGTTTCAGTTTAATAACAAAAGGACCTTCTCAGGTGTATTTTCTCATTTATGTTACATCCTACTTGTGTTATAAAACATAAAATAAGATACATAGCTGTTAAATAATTTGTTTTATAAATGTTGAGGATATGTTGGTCTCGTATGGCACTCAATGTGTTAAAAAAATGACTCTTTGGTAATAATTCCTAAAACTATAAAGCTATCAATCGTCAGGTTTTTCGTTAAGAATAAAAAATATGATATTTACATAGAAAGTATTGTAGAATCGAAAAATTGCGCTAAAATAGCAATTCCTCCAGTGGCGTAGAATTTGAATAGGGTCAATCATGTTCTTTTTCCTGTCGTAGGCTTCTGGTAATAGCCAGAAACGTTTATTTAACATAATTTAGTAGGATGTAAGGTAAACAACCAGTCCTTGCCACTCTACCAATTATTGCCACTGACCCTTAAACTATGTACTTGTGAAATTCCTAGGTGGTAAAAAAATCCATAACATACAGATATGTTTGTATTATCCAAGTCTTTATGGACACTTTTGATGTACAAGTAATGTCTATGAAATCTGTTAGTGCTGAAAAGAACATTTTTATTTCTGATGAAAAATACATCTACTTTGTTAACGAAAATCGTGTTTTAGGCATACCGCTGACCCCTATTATTTTATCCACTGGTGAATGGATTCGTTATGAATTTACTTTGCCAGTGGATGTATTTGAGGCCTAAAACCTGTGGAGTTTTTATTAATAAACAATATTTTTCAGTAAAATGTAGAGTTATTTCTGTATGGCAATGACTGGGTGGCAATCATTGGTATTTTGAAAAATTGTTTGGCAATTATTGTTTTTTTGGCTTTATATGGTTTTTAGCTTTAACTTTCTTATAGTGGCAATGACTGGTCAATTACCTTATAGTAACTACAAAATTTAGAACAACAAACTACAAAAATTAAATATAGAAATATCTAAAGCTGTTAGACAAGACACTTGAAAATGCAACCAAGAACAAATCGAACATACCATTGAGAACAATAGAAGTATGAAAGTATTGAGAAAAAGGCTAAGGACAGGGACAAGGCAGATAATAAAGATTAAAGATAGAAATGGTCATCTTACAACCAACAGAGAGGAAACCCTTAAAATAGTTGAAGACTTCTATAAATTGCTGTACACAAGCCAACAAAAAGCAAATAGCAGAGAAGATCAATTACATACCAGAAATAATAACAAGGAAAAGGGCATTGTCAACCAAGGATTAGAACTACTACAGGAAATCACAATAGATGAAATAAAACTAGCCATAAGAAGAGCTAAGAATAACAAATCTCCTGGCGAAGATTGTGTTGTTACTGATGCAATCAAAATCAGAGGCACTTGCCTACTTAAGAAAATTAAAAATCCTTTTTAACATGTGCCTTTGGACAGTAATATTCCAGACAAATGGCACACTGCTGAGGTAATTTTATCCAAAAAAGGAGATCCCATTAATTAGAAACCTACAGACCTATAAGTCTTCTTAGTCACCTATACAAACTCCTTACAAGAATAGTAACGAATTGTCTTGAAAAAATGCCTGATTTCTACCAGCAAGCGGGATTTCGTACCGGATTTGGAAAAAGTGATCACCGACAGAACATTAAAATGGCAATAGAAAAGACTATCGAATACAATCGACCACTCGTTCTGGCTTTTGTAGATTTCCGTAAAACCTTTGACACGATAGAAGTTGATAAAATCCTTGAAGCACTACATTCACGCCGCATTGACTACCGATATACGGTAGTCAATGCGGCTATAACTATAAGGTTAATTTATAATACATACAAGAACGCAACTATGTTGGTGAAACTACATAAAAGCATGGATCATATCCTAATCGGCAGAGGAGTCCGACAGGGTGATACCTTATAGTCTAAACTGTTTATCGCAGTATTAGAATATGCTTGTAAAAAACTGAACTTGGAAGAAAAAGGCCTGAACATTGACGGTAGAAGATTAACAAATTTGAAATTCGCAGACGACATAGTTTTGTTCTCGGACAACCTCAAGGAGATATGTACAGTTGCGGTCACGGAATAGTTTACAGGTTCACGTATCTAGGAGCCCATTTTTTAAATTTTTACTTCGTTTAAACGCACCTTTTACGTCAAAGTGACGTTGCCAGTGGTGTACTAGCTAGAATAGGTAGATTAAAATTAAAATATCAAAATATTTTACAAAATGAAAAATATAGAAAACAGTTTTTTGAATAAAATGGATTATGATCTTAATAACGAAAATAAAGAAGTCTTTTTTTAATAAGTTTAATATACTTTTATTTTATTGTTGAACACTCGCAAAAGCATTGACGTTTTGAAATTTTTTGACTTTGACATTTATCAAATCCGTACGACACTGCAATTTTACAGTATTACAATATAAAAAGTAAGGTGTAAACTATTCCGTGACCGCAACTGTACATGTACAATGCTATATGAAGTTCAGTTAGTGTGTGCCAATGTGGGTCTTAAAATAAATATATCCAAAAACAACATTCATGACAAACCTAGTACCTAGTGGAAATATCAATATTGGAGACAACGAAGTAGAGCTGGTGGAAAAATACATACACCTTGGACACGAAATAAAGATCACAAGAGACAACCAAACATAAGAACAACTAAGAAGAATAAACCTAGCATGGGCACCCTATGGAAAACTCAAAGACATCTTTAAAAGCGATATACCAATTTCTTTAAAACATAAAACATTTGACTAATGTGTGTTGCATGTAATGACCTATGGTGCCTAAACTTTCACATTGACAGCTACAACTTCTAAAACGCTGCAAATAGCTCAAAGGAAAATGGAAAGGTCAATGGTGAGTATATAGCTTGGCGACCGAGTTAGAAATGAAGATTTAAGACGAAGAACAGGAGTTACCGATGTAATTTCCCGAATTGCCACATTGAAATGGAACTGGGCCTTACACGTCACCCGAATCAGTGATGAAAGGTGGTCAAAGAGATTGCTTGAGTGGAGGCCAAGGTTAGAACTTTTTACCTTTAAAACGCATCTTAATTTTTGTCGATAGGACACTTCAATCAAAAGATATTGATTTTTTTACCGTCGAGCTGATACAAATTTTACTGAACATTGGTTTCGCTCGCGTAACTGACATTTAAAATCGACGGTCGCTTTAAGCGTTGTTGGTAAGAGAACGGTTATTCTACACAAAAAATGCTTATAAAGATTTTTATTTAAAATTATCTCTAGCTACATTTTTTATTTGAAACATTTTTTTCTACGGCGTACTGATTCTTGGTAAATCGATTTTTTTGAGTTTTCACCCCCTACGAGGGGAGTCTAAAGGTCGATACAGACACATCAGTCACGTCTCGTCACAGTGATTGCGCCAAACCGAACAATCCGTCATACAAAATATTCTTTAATACAAATATGTTGCCGGCATTCACACTCATCAGTTGACAAACAGTTTCTCAGCTGTCAGATAGTTGATAGTTCTGTGACCAAATAGGACCGGTTCGGCGCCGAGACTATGACGGGACTGATGTGTCTGAATCGACCTTTAGGAGGAAGCCCGGAGATAAAAGTGCTAAACTTTTTTGCATAGGTATTTTTTGAGGCTCCAAAATTAATATTTTTGGCAAAATTCAGCTCGTTCGTATGATTTTTAAGGGTTTTGAGGCATTTACGTCTCTGACGACTAGAGTATTCAAGTACTGTGAACAAATAGTTTTTAAATTTTTAAGTAAAACACCCTGTAACTTAGCAAGAAGCTACATTTTATTTAACTGATTTGAGTCACACCTTAATATTTTGATAAATCTACAGTTAAACTATTTCTAATTATTAACAAAACACCATGTATAATTACCGAGCCTCTGCGCCAATTTGGCTCTCAAGACTGTCGGGAAGTAAGCAGTTTTTCTCTGCATTTTGCAGATTAAGATTCAACCATGTTTTAACTCATCAGTATAACTATAAAATAAAATTAAGTGATTCTTCTAATTTTCTTAGAATAACAAAAATACCCAGAACCAACAAACCATATAAACTAATCCAATTAATAAGATCAGAAGATTATAACATTTATCAAATTTTGTATAACCATATTTTAAGTATTTTAAGTTTATAACCTATGTTTAAAGCCTTGCCTTAAGTCTATCAGAGGTCCACCTGTTTCGTCTAAATGCGCTCATCGACCCGTGAGCCTCAAATTGTGTCCCAGTTTAATATCCCAAATTATATTAGAAAAAGATGACAATATAAAAAAAATGCAAAACTACAAAGAAAATAATAAAAAAACAACACTACAAAACCTAACCACAAAAGAGAAAACAGTCTAAAATAAGTTGAATGTATAGTAGAAAAAATGACCAATTATATATCTTTGTAAAATTAGAGCATGGTTATGATTGTATACTTACCTAACAAACGAGAATAAAGCAAGAAGCTCTCCTTCAGAGCTTTTGCATAAAAATACAAAATAATCCCATAAACAAACACACACACTCAATGATAGATTTACCAAATTAACACTTAAACTTAATTTATTATACTCTATGAGAAAAATAACAGATACAACATTTATAATAAATTTAATACAAATAGTAATTCGATTTTCCTAAAGGTATTGATTAGCAATTTATACTTATCTACACATATTTATAATAGTTCACTTGTAAAAAGATTGTTGCCACCGAAACTTAGTTGTGCATCCTAATACATTTTTGTGAAAATAATGAAACGAATATTGTGCAGTGATTTACTCATACAACTGCATTATTAACTTCAGGAAGTGTGCTCGATCCGATTAATTATCAAACTGATAAGATATGGATAATTCTAATATGTTTTATTGAACTGTATTTGAAAGTCTAATAATTATATATGTATTTAGAAGTGCAACCGCCGCCCATAGACGACGTTGTTATTAAAATAGAAGAAGACGGAAATATGGAAGCCAGTGAAGTAATCAGTATTGAGTCTGATAATGAGGAAATAGCAGAAAATAAAGAAGTAATAAAGGTTGAACCTAACGCAGAAATAGTTGAATTATTCAAAGATCAATCTGATATTGAAAATGCCGAAATGCCAACAGAAACCATCTCAAATAATGTACCTTACCAAATTTTTCCTGAAGTACCAGAATCATTTCATCATGAGCAAATGTTACTTGAAACATCCAAAGAAGTCTTAGTTCAAAATATTGCTGGACAAGATACTGTGGAAGTCGGTACTAATTTATCACGAAAAACTTGTAATGCCTCAACGCAGACGCAAGTGCTTACAATCGACAAATTTATTAAAAACAGATTTAGAAAACCGGCGAAAACCTTCGCTGCTGCTACAAGAAGAATGCTAATAATAGATAAATACATTGCTAAGTTAACTGAATACCGGCAAAGTTTATTTACACAATTATATCCTAGGAAAATTGCGAGGAAACCTAATGGGAGATTGGTAAATAAAAAAGTCAAATCTACGGATATAGCAAGGAATATGAACTCCTCATCGTTGGAAGAACCTGGGAAGCAGAAACGTAAAAAGCTAGCTGACAGTCTACCACAGACCGATGAACAGTTATTTTCTAAAAAAACTTCAAATCCTTGTCAGAAATCAGAAGAGCAGAGCCTTCTAGATTTTGGAAGTATTTCCGAAAAGATGTTGGTGTTAAAGGTAAGTTTAAATCTATTTACCTATAACTCAAGGAAATAAGTTAAAAACTTTTAATTAGGGAAGGTAGAGAAATTGTACTATTTCTACTAATTTTTCTTCTGAGCAAAACTTTCTTTATTGTTGTTTATTAAGTTATTAAAACTGTTCAAATTAATAGAGTTAACTCACGAAAGTTAATTCTAGACGTATATAAGACACATAGAGTCAAACGGTAGATACACATCCTGAAATTATCAATTCAATTTTTTTGGTTGTTGCGCAAAATTTCCCATCTATGTGGGTAATTTTACGCAGTGTATCGGGAAATTTTACGCAAATTATAAAAATTATACCGTTTGATTTTTTTATTACAACAAATTACATATATAGTCTTCGAGTTTTCTCGCAGTGCAGGGGGTATGGGCCCAACTCAAACAAGATGCCAAATTCCCAATTCCCAAATTCTCCACAAATCAGATGTTCTCTGGACATATCCGATTCCTCCGTTTCACTTTCTTGAAATTTCTTTCTTTTTAATATAGGTTAATTTTTAGCCTCTACCAAACATTTTTTCTTTTTGTATCAGCTACCTTCTTCTAGTTTCTCTCTTTCCTCTTCAAGTCGGCAGCTTCGAGAATATTCTTCAGAAAGAATATACACACCTTCTTCGGTGTGTGTGTCAGAATTTTAGATCGTTTACGTAAGATATGAAGAAGCTAAAATGACATAAGCTAAAAGAACAGTCAAAATAAGAAAAGGTAGACTAAGGATAAGCTGAAAAATATAATAGAAAAATTAGGAGTGACAAATTTATAAGAAACTAAACCTTTGGCGAAGGTTGTAAAGTCTGGAGAAAGTAGATTAGGAGATAAAATATATGCATAATCTGGACGCTCTGGAGCGTCTATTGAATTTGGGACCTTTTTCTTTGTTGATATTGGTGTGCCTTTCTTTTTCTTATTGCAAAAGTCCTAGAGTCTTTAAATTTGATGAATAAGTTCCTCCTGATTCAAAGAAGAATCCTGTTGAATTTGTGGCTTTGCTTTTTGTATTGAAATTCTTGTGCCTTTTTTTCTTGAAGCAAAAGTCCTAGACTCTTAAAATTTGGCAAATAGAATTCTCAGGATTCAAAGAAAAATTCTATTGAATTTTCGACTTTTCTTCTGTTCATATACAGTCCCTGCTCAATTTATTAGACTGAGAAAATTCTAGTTTTCTTTGTTTTATAATCAATTATAATTATAACTCTGTTAGCTGTAACTAAGAAACATAACACAAATGATACCTTTTTGCATATTTATTGAACAAAAACAACGTAAATTATTACAATATTTTACCATAACATCAATATTTTATGCCAACCTTGGTTTTAAGCAGTGCAGCCACTCTCATAGGCATGCTGTTTGTGCATTTTTCTGCGATTTCTTTTAAATTTTTGATGTGATTCCAAATGAAAATGATTCTTTCTATCAACTGAACCTTGTTGGTAATTATTTCCTTGGCTAACTTCTTTTTAATCACTCCCAGACATTTTCAATGGGTTCATGTCTGGTCAGTTCTCGGGCCTTGCTAAGAGTGGAATGTCTTTTTCTAACAAAAAAATTGCAAGGTACTCCATCCTGTACAATTTAGCCGTATGGCAAGATGCTCCATCCTGTATAAATACCTAATGGCAGTAACCAAACCATTCGTTCACTTGTGAACCAATCTTGTCTGCAAAACTCTTCTATATTGGTATTGTCGCATGGTTCCTTCTACGACATACAAACGTCCCATACCTTTGCCACTAATCACCGACCATATCATTACTGAGGTGGGATGTTTAATTGTATTAACTGCACACCCCTTTTCATATTTTCCCCTTGACGCCTTCGGACAAACTGGGCCTTGTCATCCATAATTTGAAATGTGGCTTCATCGCTGAAGCAAACCTGTGAATGTGAATAACAATTATAACGTGCGAAAATAAAATGATTTGTAATAATTTACCTTACGCCAATCATCAATAGATCAGTCTTTATGGATCTTGGCCCAAGCTAAGCATTTGTGGTGTTAGTTTTGGCTTCTTAATAGGCCTGCGATATTTGAAGCCCATGCCATACAAATTTCGGCGTCCGGTGGCCATCGATTCTAAGCATCCTGCTTCTTTCAACTTATTTCTTAAATCTATATGGGTGGCCCTTCTGTGTGTTACAGCTACATTTTTTAAAATTCGTTGCGCCTTGGAGGTGACTGAAGGTTTTTTGCCACACCAGCCCTTCCCAACTGACGTCACAGATCGCTTCTCTTTGAGTTTTTTACTTAATCTTCTCACTGACGACTGGGATACACCACATTTTTATGTTATATCTCTCTAACTAAGTGCTGTATTCTCTAATAGAGCAGTAATGGACGAGTTTATTTTTAACACAAAAGATCTTTAGATTTATCCATCTAAAAATTCCAATCCAAGATTAATCGTCTTGTTTTATGATTAAAAATTAACCAAAATCAAAAGTATCACTATTATGTAATAATGTCAATACTTACTAGTACAAATTTTAAATAAACTGACCACAAATCAATGTTTTAAGTAAAAAAACTCTAAATGTAAGACAATTAGTTACTCCACACTTTCAGCACATTCTACTGTCATCTGTAAATTTTTGACAATTCTAAGAAAAATTTATACCATTTTCTACGTAACTATGTACCCAATAGTTATGCAACCCATTCAACACCTTAGTATCCAAAAGAAAATAATTTAGTGCGATTGAAATAAAAAAAAATATATGATGAGTCTAATAAATTGAGCAGGTACCTTATATGTTCCTTATCTTTTTCTTGAAACACAAGTCCTAGAGTTTGAAATTTGAGAGATACCTACATCTTATCCGTTTTATATCAAAACTTCCCAAACATTAAAAATGGCCCACCGACTATTATTTCTTGATCAAACTATAGATAAGTACCATCTAAATATTAATATTTTTCGTTTTTTTTTTTTAGGTTTGTGAGGATAAATTGGTAGCTGGATCAGAGAGTGGAAAAGTGTTCTTTTTTAATCTAAAAGACAGTAAATGTTCAAATATTTTAGAAGTTACCACAGTTCCAATCACTTGTATACACTACACAAAAGACTCTCATGGAAAACCGTATTTGTTTATTGGGTATTATGGATCTTCCTTAAAAGTGTATAACTTTTATAGTACCTCCCTTCTATGTGATATTAAGATAGATGACAGCATTCAGTGTATAGACGAGAACTGGGGATATTTGTTTCTCGGATGTTCGAGGAGTACAATTGCACGATACTCCATAAAGGTTAGTTATGATAGAGAATTTAGAAGTACACCAAACAAAATTACCAATAATAATGAAGTTTGGTTTAACATGGTGATTTGACCAAACATACTGAATAAATGACATCCAGTTTGATACATTACGTTAAGTTTTGGATTATATATTGCAAACTACATAAAGCGCTAAAATCGGCAACATTGCCTCTTAAAACCATTTAGTAATACATAAAAACGCATGGGATATGCATCTCCATCCGTCGATTTTTGTTTGCCTTACGTATACCCGGTTTATTTCTTATAACATAAACTCGATAAAAATACACTGACCTTTATAAGGCGATGCATTTGTATCGGTTTTTAATAACGTGAACAATTTTTTGTGGTTGGATTAAAAATAAAAGCGCATTTCTTTAAAAGAGATCTTATTGAAAATAAAAAATAATTCCTAATAAAATAAGAAATAGTTCTTTATGCCCTACAGAAATGATTCAAATATTTGACCTGCGGCTAAACAATATCCCAATCTGTCATAAAAACTTCTGCGGACAGACACAATATTCTGAAAAACGGAATGTTTGGCCAGGTTGTAAGGCGGTGCTATAATTGGCCCCTTGTTGATACCAGGCAATTTAAGTGGCGAAAATTACCTCGATATACTGGAAAACATTGTCGAACTTTTAATTGTGCATGAATTAGAGAACGAAAGGGACGATCAAGGCACCCTATACTACGTTCCACGTTTAGGAAATAACATTGCGGAGATAGGGCCATGTATTTCTTATGGACGATAGCAACGCGGCGTTGCCACGACACACACAATCACAATTTAGGGTTGTATAATTTGTATTTTTGTTTCCACAAACATGAATTAAATTAATGTTTTTTAACGTAATTGATCAAAAGTGCCCATTCGAAACAAGAGATGAAAAGTAGGGAAAATGATTTTAATTAGATAAATAGTATTTACAGAAGATAATTTTATTTTATTTTATTTTAATTATAGTAACGACAGTTTATTTGTTTTTCGGTGAGAATGCGATATGCCATGAATCATACAAATCAGTAGAAAATATTGACCGCTTGGAATGCGTATATCTAATTACTAATTGCAACTTAAAATAATACGATGTGCGTATGTCAGCTATTTTATGTCGTTCTCTGACTACATAATTATAATAAGGCTTTTATTTAGTAGTTATTCTGACTTTACAGTTAAATGTTAATTGAAAATAAAAATTCAAAAATCAAGCAAAGGGAATATCTTGGACATCCGTGCAAAAGAGAGTGTCTGAGAGTTTTGGCAACACTGATCTCCATAAGCGTAATGTTATTTTCTTAACTTGAAACAAAGAATAGCTCTAGACGAAAATTTGCTGCACTTCCAACAAGATGGAGCACCTCCTCACTATGCAGCTCCAGTTAGGCACTGGTTGGATACTAATTATCAAAATAAATTGATTGTAAGGAGAGGTCCTATTGAGTGACCACCCAGGTCACCAGGCCTACCGCCACCTGACTTTTTTCTATGAGGTTCCTCAAGTCTATAAAATTCAACCTGCGTCACACGGGGGATGGCGAAAAATAATTAAGCAAGCATGTCGCGCTATTACTAGAACAACATTTGCCAAAGTTCGTGCAGAATTTGAATATATTAAATTGTTTAATTGTTTAAAAAACAACGGAACCCATTTTGAACATTTAAGCTAAAGTTTCACAGTTATTGTTTCAACCTGTATAATTATTATTTATACCATTGGATAGCATTTTTTATAGTCTTTTCAGTGATCTATCACAAGTAGGGGTTTGAAATTTAATTTTTTTTTGGTTGTGGTGGGTGGGGCCTAGGAGGTTGATGGGGATGAGTTCTCTTTCATGTCATTTTAGTTTCCCCTTACTATTCTAGAAACGGTTTCAAGCATTTTTCTATATCAGCTTTTGTTCGTGAGATATAGCCCATTTAAGTTTTTAAATTGACACACTATATCTACATTCTTTTTTCCAGGAAATCCTTGAAAAGATAACAAAAGTTTCGCAACCTTTGCTGTTATCATATTACAGAGTTTCACTTGTATTTTTTTTTAGTAGGATAAATTAACAAAGAAATCGAATAAAAAAATGAAAATTAACAATCAAAAAGTACTTGTTCTGAAGCTATTTTCTTGTGGCATTGTAAATTAATTACTATTAAACTGAGAATAAGCCACAATTAAAGATAAAAATACGTTTATTGACGTTTCAATTTCCACTTCGGAAATCGTTCTCAAAATACAAACAGTAAATTAAACAAATTTTGTTTTTTTGTTACATAGTGAAAAATTCTTCTAATAATTTAATTTTATCTGACTCATTTATATTGACAATTCAGACATACATTATGCATTTTAAAGTAGACGACTTTAAAATGATATTGCCAATATTGTTGAGTTGCGCTCCTGGGACGACTTTACTTTTAAGATAGTTCATTCGATTACATGAAATCAACTTTAACTTGAGAATATCCGTCAGAAAAAAAAAATCATAGCATGTAATTCGTCTTTAAAAAGACAAACACATGACATGATGACAGTAAAATTCTCCTGTTAGTGATTCCATAGTAAATTATGAGGGAAAAACCAGGAAAAAAACCTCATAATACTATCCCGACATTGTAAGTATTTGTTCGTGAATTTAGTTTACCTTCAACAAACATCAAAATTCTGATTTTATATGTTACGTTATTTCAAAAACATAAATGATGTATCCTCTATATGTTACTGACTTACTAATACTGGTATTTTCTTATTAATAACTTCCTCTTTCAATATTGGTAACCAGATCCTACTACATTCTGCCGAGGAATTTGCGACACAATTGGCCTCATTGAAATAATATGAGGAAAATAACAATACCGTACATAAAAGGACTATCAGAAAAACTTAAAAGGATAGGAAATAAATTCAACATTTCAACAACATTCAAAACAACAAACACGTTGAGATCTATTTTGTCCAAAACCAAACTTAACAAAGGTGAATCACCAGGGCCATTAAATGTTAGAATAAGTGAACATCAATCTTATATTAAAAATAGGGAATTTGATAGATCTCAAATCTGTAAACACGCATGGGATAATGAACATAGGGTTCAATGGAATAATTCAAATGTAGTCCTAAAAGAAACGGATGGTAAAAAAAGAAAAATCAAAGAAGCGGCTATAATTATGCTAAATGAGGCCAATTGTGTCGCAAATTCCTCGGCAGAATGTAGTAGGATCTGGTTACCAATATTGAAAGAGGAAGTTATTAATAAGAAAATACCAGTATTAGTAAGTCAGTAACATATAGAGGATACATCATTTGTGTTTTTGAAATAACGTAACATATAAAATCAGAATTTTGATGTTTGTTGAAGGTAAACTAAATTCACGAACAAATACTTACAATGTCGGGATAGTATTATGAGGTTTTTTTCCTGGTTTTTCCCTCATAATTTACTATGGAATCACTAACAGGAGAATTTTACTGTCATCATGTCATGTGTTTGTCTTTTTAAAGACGAATTACATGCTATGATTTTTTTTTTCTGACGGATATTCTCAAGTTAAAGTTGATTTCATGTAATCGAATGAACTATCTTAAAAGTAAAGTAGTCCCAGGAGCGCAACTCAACAATATTGGCAATATCATTTTAAAGTCGTCTACTTTAAAATGCATAATGTATGTCTGAATTGTCAATATAAATGAGTCAGATAAAATTAAATTATTAGAAGAATTTTTCACTATGTAACAAAAAAACAAAATTTGTTTAATTTACTGTTTGTATTTTGAGAACGATTTCCGAAGTGGAAATTGAAACGTCAATAAACGTATTTTTATCTTTAATTGTGGCTTATTCCCAGCTTAATAGTAATCAAAAAGTACTTTATAACTTCTTTAAATGCATTTTGAAATTCATCAAAATTTACTATTATTCTGAATATAAACGATCTTTTTCTGGCATATAATAACCGCCTAACAACTTTTGGTTGGTTTTATTTATTTTTAAAATAACCTTTTTTGAAATCAATTTCTGGACTGGGAATCGAAACGTCAAACAATCAATTATGAAATGTAATTTTCATTAAAATTTATTGTGACTTAATCCCATGTGAGTCTCTTGTACAATAAACGATACAACTACTTATTTTTCTATTTGTTATTTATTTTTAGAAAAACACTTTGGAATACGAAGAAATATTTGACGGTTATCCAGTATTTGCGTTATGGGCCACCCAAGAAGGAGCTAGAATGGTTCTACTCGTAGGATCCCGCAATTCCGCAGTCGTAATAAGAGATGCCATGAGCGGCCTTCACTTGCGAACTATGGAGAACATAATAGCCCCCACAGTATATTCTATGATTATGGAAAGAAATTTGGTGTTTTGTGGCACCACCTCTCATAACATTTTAGTTTTCGATTTTCACGTAAGTATATTAAAAATAACTAATAAAAAGGGTTTTTTCTGCATTTAATTTACATGAATTTAAATGAACAGTCTCTTAGTATATCTACAGACATAACTAAAATCGCAATATCATCAGCTTTATTCAATATCTGATAGGCCTTTGTCCTTAAACTTAAAACTCTTTAATTTAGCCTCCCTTAGTAATAATTCTAGACACGACCCAAAAAGGGTGGTAGAAACGGGATATACTTGTTCAAAAGCTACCTGAAACTTTGCTTTTGTATTTAATCTACATAACGGAGATAAAGAAGAACCCAACAATTATAGAGGTATAAATCTACTGAGCACCGCACTTAAGCTTACCACAAAAGTCCTAACCAACAAAATCAATAAACTAACAACTTTCAGATGAATAACAAGGATTCGGATCCGGAAAATCCTGCGTAGATGCCGTATTTGTACTAAGACAAATGACAGAAAAGGCCATGAAGTACAGTAAACCAGCATATCTGTTTTATAGGCCTGACAAAGCCTTTCGATCGCATCCAAATCGAAGACGTCTTACACTTACTGTATAAAAGAAACATACCGAGCACTATTATATAAACCATCGAAAACATTTACTTACATAATCGAATATTGGCAAAGATACAAGGAAAACTAACACAGTGTATACCAGTACAAATCGGAATCAGACAAGGTGATTCGTTAAGCCCATTTCTCTTTAATATAATAATAGACGAAATAATACAAGCAGAATCTAAAGGTCATGGTTACAGAATGGGGAACAAAGAAATCCAAATATTATGTTATGCAGACGACGCCGGATTAATCGTCGAGAAAGAAGACTAGCTTTAAAGATTAATACATATCTTCAATACAACAGCCAAGAAATACAATATGATAATATCAGCAGAAAAAAAAACAAATGTATGACAACATCTCAATACCAACTACGATGTAAAATCGAAAATGATGGGACAATAATAAATCATTCAGCAAGGTTTAGACACAGAATAATAAACAATCAGAATGCCCACTCTCAGATGCCGCTTTTTCAGCTCGCGCGCCATTTTTTAGAAGAAAACATAACACAGACATGTGATTTGTGAGGTTATGTAATTGTTTATATTTAAGCTGGATTTATAGTTTGACGCACTGTAGACGTAGACGCACTGGAGACGTAACAAACGGACTGTAAATATAATTTCAATTTATAAATCGACGGAGTGGAATTTTTGCGCATGAGTAGAAACAGCGGCTAGAGTTGGTGTTCATGATATTATAATATCATTTTATTATTTATTATTAATATTTTATAAATTCTTAACGTCCATCGTAACAAATAATCAACAAAATAAAAATTCGAATATGTTTATAAGCAACTTTACACAATTGTGGGCGTGCCAGACAGTTCATTTTGGTTGACAGCACAAAATTCTTCCTTTTGATTGGCCAGACGCAAGTAACGCACTGTAAAAGATGAAAGTTGACCAACTCTTCCGTTACAGTGCGTTTCGCTTACGTCCCGTCTTGCGTTTACGTTCATTTATAAATAAGAGTACACAAAAGTCTATGTTGATCTTTTTGCAGTGCGTCTGCGTTTACAGTCCGTCAAACTATAAATCCAGCTTTATGTTTAATTATATTATATTTATATTAGTATATTTAATAATGTCAATATTCGCTCCGTGCGTGACTGACGCGACACCTACCGCCTTCATCTGACAATTTTGGAGTCCCAATTTTCAGGTTAAATATATGACATATGTTTGACATTGTTAAATACATGCGAAATTGACAATTATTAATAAATTAGTTTTTTAACTATATTTTATCAGTTTATGTACAAATAAATGTAGTATTAAAAACTGGGTTTCTCAAAATTCATCATAATATATCTTTTCAACTCCAAACGGAAAAGAAAGGGAAAAATCTAGTACTGGCAAATCAAGTTTTTCACGCAAAAAAGCATATAATTCAAAACAATAATAGTAAAAGTTATGATATAAACGCTAAAGTCATCTGCAGTTAGCTTGAAGCCTTCTGAAATATCATTCAAGGTAAATTATTTAAATTTTTCCTGTTTCCTAGCACGAATTCATCTTTTTCTTTTCTCTAATTTATAAGTAATCTTTGGGAACCTATAAAAACTACACTCACTGTTTTTGCTATTAGGTATTAGCACAATTAATTACGCAACATGTATTTGCACACATTTTTGATAAAATTTATGCGTAAAAATATTTTGTCCAATATTCCAATTTTGTCATATTTCGCCGCTACGCACGCTGGCATCGTTTCAATGTATCCCTACCATGGTCACGCACGGAGCGAATAATTGTATATTATGTCTATGATTGCCGTAAGTCAATTAAACCGGGTTAATTTTTCTATGCACACCACATAAACAATACTGGTTCCCTCTAAAACATGGCGGAACGTCTGCGCGAAGGAGATGCGCGTACTTAATTTTCCATCGAGAGTGGGCATTCTGATTGTTTATTATTCTGTGGTTTAGATATCTGGGAATAGATAAAACTAGTTACGGTGATGTTGAAGAAGTACGACAACAATGCTTAAAAGCAAGTAAAGCGGCGGAATCTGTTAATGACACAATCTGGAAGAACAAACGCTTAAGACAAGACACAAAAACAAGAATCTATAAAGCAGCAACTAGACTTATATACACGGCGGAGACAAGACCTGACACATCTAAAACGAGACGAGTACTAGAAACAACAGAGATGAAAATACTTTGACGAATCAGGGAATCAAGGAAAAGTCTGTTGGATAGGGATAGAAGCGAATACATAAGAAGTGCATGCAATATAGAAGACATAAATGGATGGGTGACAAAACGAAAACAGGAGTAGAATGAACACATTAGTAGAATAGAAGAGGATAGGATAGTACGAATAGTACGAGATAAGTCACCAAACGGACGAAGAAGTATTGGCAGACAGATTGACAGAAAAATATGGTGCGATAATTGAAACAATTTAGGAGGCTCATATTGAAGAAGAAACAGGTTTTAAAGCCTACATACAAAAACGAAGAAAAAAAAGAAATAAATATCAAGCTTTCTTAATTTCGGATTGGACTACGTTAAATTTTGGTTGGGTCGAGTTTTTGACGCTTCCTTTGGGATCATCAGTACTTGCTCCTAGCCTCTATTTTTTATTCGCCAATTCACCTCATTAATAGTTCTGTCGCGGACATTATACCTCAATAATACAGTTTTTCCTGCTCATTTTTAACTTCCTTTCGATATCGACAGAAATTTTCTAGGCAGTGGATTCTCTTAGTTCGATACATAATTGGATCACCAATTTTCATGAAAAGATGAGTCATAAGATGATTATTTCTAAAAAATAACGGAAGTATAACATTACTTAATATATTCTTACAGGAACCCAAAGAAGACGTCAAATAAGTTTGCTTAAGAACAAAGATTGAAAGATTATTATAGATTTGACAAAGAAAATTAATAGATGGAGTGAATACACAAGAGAATTATTTGAGGACAACAGAAATAACATTGTTCTGATATATGGCGAAACGGGACCTGAAATTCTAAAATGTGAAGTAGAAATGGCACTTAAAAATTCCAAAACTGGGAAGGCAAATGGACCGGATGAGGTTCCTACCGAATTGCTAAAGCTCTTGAATGATAAATCAATAGGTATAATATTGCACTTATTTAATACAATATACAATACTGGCATTATACCTCAAGAGTGGCTGTTGTCTACATTCGTTACACTGCCAAAGAAATCTAATGCTAAAGAATGTTCAGAACATCGAACAATATCTTTAATGAGCCACCTACTAAAGATATTTCTAAAAATCATCCACAACCGAGTTTATCAAAAGTTGGAGTCAGATATTAGTAATACACAGATGGGGTTCAGAAAAGGGCTTGGTGCTCGAGAAGCTCTCTTCGGTTTGAATGTTCTCACACAAAGATGCCTAGACGTTAATCAGGAGGTACATACGTGTTTTATCGATTTTGAAAAAGCGTTTGACAGAGTACGCCATGATAAGCTTAGAGAGATTCTTGAAAGGAAGGACATAGATAATAAAGATCTGCGAATAATTCTCAATCTATATTGGAATCAGAAAGCTAACATCAAAATAGAAACTGAAACATCACAAGCAATAAAAATACGTAGAGGAGTACGACAGGGTTGCATTTTGTCACCTCTGTTATTTAATGTATATAGTGAAAGCATCTGTCAGGAAGCCCTTTTACAAGCAAACGGAGGAATCGTAATTAATGGAGAGATTGTAAATAATATTCGATACGCGGACGACACTGTACTAGTTGCAATAACAGTAGAAGAATTACAAAGATTACTTACAGACATAAATATTGCTTGCAACAATTATGGTATAAATATCAATATTAAAAAAACCAAGTATATGGTATTCAGTAAAAACATGACACAACCAGCGTATATTAGTATAAACGGCACTCAAGTTGAAAAAGTATCAAGTTACAAATACTTAGGAACTTTAATAAACGAAACTGGAGACCAAAACAGTGAAATAAAAAGACGTATCGAAAGTGCCAGCGCCACCTTCACAAAGATGAGAAAATTCTTCTGCAACAGAAATATAAGCATCCCTCTACGATTAAGAATGCTGAGTATTTTGGCTATGTATTTAACACGCTATTATACGGTGTAGAGGCCTGGACTCTCAAACAGAACAACATGAAAAATATTGAAAGTTTCGAGATGTGCTGCTACCGTCGAATGCTGAAGATTAGTTGGGTTGAAAGAATATTAAACTGTGAAGTAATACGAAGAATAGGAAAAGACCCAGAGATTTTGTTAACGCTAAAGCGAAGAAAACTCGAATATTTTGGTCACCTGATGAGAGGACATAAATACGCATTACTTCAAAATATAATGCAGGGAAAAATAGAAGGAAAACGGAATCTAGGCCGTAGAAGAATGTCATGGTTGCGGAATTTGAGAGAGTGGTTTGGCTGCACCACTAATGAACTCTTTAGGTCAGCCGTAAACAAGGTCAGAATAGCCTTGATGATTTCCAATCTCCAATAGGAGTGGCACAAAAAGAAGAAGAATATATTCTTTTAACTAACTGTTCGGATTTGATCCAAACTGGCAACAGCGCTCCCGCGTCCTATCCCTGACCACCCTTTGGTACAGACCAAAATTTGACTCTGCGAAAGATTGTCCCGACTTCCTTCTTCCTTCTCTTTTACGTTCAACCGCCTGAGAAGACAGAAGGCTCTTAGTTCAATTGTGGCACGGCATTTCTTATATAAAGCAGAGAGCAAATAAATGGTAACTATATTATCTATTGAATAATTTATAAGTATACTGGTTATAATTGAAAATACATTTCTATTGAGTAAGAAGCATTTATTTAAATACACACAACAAAAAGAACTAGCGCTTAATGGAAATACACCAAAGTCGAAGGATAATCCGAAGTAATTTAACCTAATTACTTGTACCCGGCCGATATATTTATTCGGCTACACTTGGACGGTGCTAGGCAGGAACCCTGCCCGTTTCCAACTAACAAAAGAAAGACATCATTATCTTGACGACTGAAACAATTTAATTTTTTGATCTTTTTTTTAGAACGGAAAGCTATTGCATACCTATAGTGCTACGAATTCTAAAGGTATACGATGTATGAAAATCGTCGGAAGATGTTTATTTGCCAGTTGTTATAATGGAAAGGTTTATGTGTTCAACTTAGAAAATAATTCTCATATAGGCACTCTGGAAGGTCCTGGAGGTATAATAATTTCAATGGAAGTACTATCAAATCAGGTATGACTTTTATTTTAAAGTAGTTTATATTTCAATTTTACAATTATTTAAACGTCAAAAATATATATACGCTTTGACGCAAGTATTTTGGCCCAAAAAGTGATTTTTAAAATTTCGCCCAATTTCAAACTTCATATTGCTTATCACTTTACTTTAAATTTGAAATTTTACTTCATATCACTTTAAATTTCAAACTTTAAGATCCTTTTTGCTTAATCTAATTAACTTTTTCTTGGTGGGCTACTCTTCGTTTATCTTTCATCTCTGGGTTTATCTATATCTTTGGTACTCTTTCCTTATTCATTATTTGTAGAAGTCTTATTTAACTTGTTCTGGCTGTTTTGAGTAATTTGGGCTCGCTATATATGGTCGGTATCATGGCATTGATTATTCTTTCATATATCTGTGCTTTATTGAGTGGCAAGAACGCGCGTTACTACCAGATGATTGGAATACTGGAATTATATGCCCCATACACAAAAAAGGAAACGTTATTGAATGTTCTAACTTTAGAGGGCTTTCCCTTCTTAATAGAGCATACAAAATTGTGTCCCTGATACTTAACGAACGACTGGCACGGTATACTGATAATATAATAGGATCCTATCAAAGAGGCTTCTTGAAAAACAAATCTACCATTGATCACATATCATCTATCAGACAAATATTAGAAAAAACGACGGAGTACGACATAGACTACCATTACATCTTCGTAGACTTTAAGGCAGCGTACGATACTATTGACAGGTCCCAATTATATTCGGCGATGATCGAATTAGGAATACCAAAAGGTTTGGTAGAATTAATTAAAATGACAAAGATGAAAGTCGAATGTAAAGTGCGCGTACAAGGGGATGTTTCAAAACCATTTAAAACCAACAGAGGACTGCGCCAGGGAGATGCGCTATCGTGCACGCTGTTCAATCTAGCGTTAGAAAAAGTTATGAGAGATTCGGGAATAAACTTAAAAGGTACGATATATACCCGTAGTATACAAATAATGGCATACGCTGATGATATCGTCATAATTGGAAGAACCCAAAATGAAGCAGTGGAGGCTTTCACACGTATCAAAACTGCCGCAGAAAACATCGGACTTCTGATTAGCATCCAGAAAACTAAATATATGCCGGCCATATCAAGAATTCAACAAAATAACTTAGAGGTGCAACACGAAACGATAGAAATGGTAGAAGAATTCTGCTACTAAGGATCACTGGTAGACTACAAAAATAACACATCCAACGAGATAAAAAAAAGAATATGCGTGGCTAACCGCTGTTATTACGGCCTGGGCCCTCAACTAAGAGCGAGAAGTATGTCAATAGCAACAAAGTGCAAACTTTATAAAACAATAATACGCCCAGTGCTCACATACGGATCGCAAACATGGACAATGACGACCCGAGATGAAGAGTTACTACGAGTCTTTGAAAGAAAAGTATTGAGGACCATATTTGGCGGAGTAAACGAACAGGGTCTGTGGAGAAGGCGATATAACTTTGAACTCTATAGACTTTTTGGTGATGCAGATATTGTGAAGACCATCAAAATAAACCGCCTAAGGTGGGTGGACCACGTTATGCGGATGGATGAGACTGATCCCACTAAAATAACTATGCTAAACAGACCGCTCGGAAGAAGAAGAAGGGGGCGACCTAAACTCAGATATCTGGACGATGTACAGGAAGATCTGAGGGAGATTGGAGTGAGGGGCTGGAGAAGACAGACACTCGATAGGGAAGGATGGAAGAATGTTTTGAAGCAGGCCAAGGCTCACGAAGGGCTGTAGCGCCAACTGATGATATCTGTGCTTTAATATCCCCAAGAATTGTTCTCAAATTTTTCCTTTCTAATATATTTACTGGTTATGGCTGTGGTAGATTGAGTATATTCATTGTATACATACAGTTCTCAGATAAATGCAGGTCCCTGTATATTCATAACCATTTATATAAAAGATTTCTTGTGCTCTACGACTTGAAATTATACAGGTTGACCATTTATAGAGGGTTTACTCTGAACTTTTCGTTTATATGGGTAAATTTGATAAAATAGGGGGCAATTGACATTCAAAAAGAGTTATGTTGTGTTTATTGAACGATAAATTGAATTTGGATCACTATTTATATATTCCGGCTTTTAGGATTAATTGACTAATTAATAATTATCGGGAATTATTAATACTAACCAACACACTAGATTAATATGATAAATTGATCACAATAACCTGTAAATGTTAACCATTTTTACTTCTGGTTGGCAAATGTAACATATTTTAAACCTGCGGTCTGTAAAAAGTACAGGGGTCTAGGAGGGTATTCAATATTATTTATTTTAATTAAATGTATTGATCTTATTGAACTTCAGTTTGGGAGATCTGGAAGATGCAAAAACAGATTTAATGAAGAAATTCATATGGCTGAATTGAAGAAAGGAAAAGAATCATCAGTTATTTACACAATCAGTATTTATCATGATAAATTGCGTTAGGCTTTCACGGCCATCGTCTAACTTGTTAAACTGTTTGTTCGGGCTGTTAGGCCGTTGTCTTCTGAGATTAGCTCTCGACGTTTCGCCAATATATAAAAATATGTATTTTTTATGTTGATGTGAAGAATTTGAAATTCGTCATAGAATCTCTTTTTCTATTATTGAAAACGCTTTTATGTTCTGCTATATGTTTGTTAAACGTTCTACCAGTTTGACCCATGTAAGTTTTTGGTCACCCGCCACATTTAAATTTGTAAAAGTTTTGAAAACAAAAGTTTTCAGTGTTTTATTGTTATAGAAAAACAATGTATTTGTACTACTTTACTAATGTGCTTTTGTTATACTTATTGGGGACATTTACTAAAGATTATTTATTTTTTAGGTCATCATGGGTACAATGTCATGTAAGTTTTCATCCATAGTGATCCCACAACATATTTTAAGGTATATATAGTTATCATATTTTAAAGATGTACATAAGAGTTGTAAATATTATAGCATTTTTATCATTTTATAATGATGTAAATATTTAAGTTCCAAATTTTTAAATAAAGATCTGTTTTTAATAGAAAAGCTCTTTTATTTTTCTTATAACTGCCCCAGTTTGTATGTTCGTAATCTTCAAGAAGTGATGCTGGGGAATCGCACTCCAATATCAACAGGAAGGGGAAAATAAAAACAATTGATTTGTTTAAAAAAATTATATTTCTCAAACTCTCCTACCACAACATATAAGATACAAAAATCTGCATGGTTGCGAGTTCCACAATAACAATAACGTCATCATATTTTTGTTGATACATATTTATATTGATGCATTTGACATTCACTTTGATATGTACAAATTGTTTACAAACAATTTCACAACAATATCACCTATAATTTAAATAATTCCTTCATTATTGACCTAAATTGCTCATTCCTAATGCTATGATTAGAGATCTCAAAAATTTTTAGCCGTTTTGTTGAACAGGCCTATAAATCAACATTTAGATCCTTACATCTCTGTATAAGAATATGTATGCTCAATAACCTCCTATGGACCAAAACTACTTTTTGGAATATAAGTACTCTTCAGGAATTTGGTATGCACTCTTGCATAGTTTGTTCCAAGATGTTTTTAATAGCCTATAATTCAGGAAGTGATGAATATTTTTATTTGAAAATTAAGAAACGTCAATTGGATCTACAATACGATCAATTGATGTACACATAAGATCTATGACGTCACTACGGGCGTTGTGACGTCAGTACAATAGAATAAAATTCAATGGATCAGGGGATGAAGGGTAGGTCAGATGAAATGATTTTTATCGCAAATTCAACGGTGTACCACAATGATGGAATTAATTTAAATAAGTATGTACGCCAAGTTAATTTAATGTTTATTTTCAACAATAATCAATAACATTCAAAATGTAAAATAATTTTATGAGGTGAACAAAATGACCTCCTTCTGCTTCAACACAGAGAAAAACCGTCTAAGCAGTTCACGTGTACATGCCGCATGTATGTCTCCGGCGTAATCAGGGTACACGCTTGTCTAATTATAGTTTTTAAATCGTGTTACATCTGTAGGTTCTTCGTTATAAATTATTCCATTTAACTAGAAATATACGAAAAAATCTAAGGGTGATAGCACAGGCGATCTTGGAGGCCATCGCACGGGTCTGTTAGTTTCAATTCATGTGTTTGGAAATGTGGTATTAAGGTAATTGATTACGATACCGCCGTTATGTGGGAGTGCGCTATCCTGTTGCCATGACATAACTCCTCTTTCGCTTAAAGGAATATTCTTCAGTAACAAATAGCTCATTTTTCAGAAAATTCAGATATCCCTAACCATTTAAATATTTTTCAAAAAAATATGGACCTATTAAATAACACACCAAACATTAATTCCTCATCTAGTTTGAAAACGAGTTTCCCTTAACCAGTGGAGATTTTTCATTGACCTATAATGGGAGTTATGGCGATATACAATCCCATTATTATGGAAGCGAGTTTCATCACTCCACAAAATTCTGGTTGAAAAGTAATGAGTGTTTTGCATCATCATTAGAATTATGACGATGAAGGTAGACTTCGATCCAAATAGGTGGGTTGCAATTCATTGACCAAACACAGTTTAAATGGATGGTAATAGTGGTTTTTAAAAATCCTTTGAACACTCTAGTTTCTGTAGCAATGGACCTTATGGACATGTGGATTAATCGTTACATTATGCTAAAACATTCACTAAGTCTGTATTAGTTTGACATGATTTCCATGTTTACCGTTCGGAAATGAACCTTGTCGCATCTTCTCCTCAATCATAGCAAAAGTTACATAAAAATCTTCTTTCGGGAAAGCCGTTCCATATTGCTCTCGTTCTTATGATCAAACCAGGAATTCGTAGCACCCCCTGCCCACTGAAGTGCTGCCAGGGATGTCCGTGGTTTGATTGTTCTTGATCATTCATGCTAAAGATTTTCATGAATATATCCTTATAAGGATAGCAGTAATTTTCAGTTGCCTTCGTCATCTCTATGCCGTTGAACTTGACGCAGTTTCATTGACATTAGGAAGGATTTCTATAGAAGTACAAGAAGGTGCCTTTACTTTTGTCGGCTCATTAACTTAATCTGTTAAATAAGATTATTGGTATTTCAAGTATTCATCAATTTTAATCAATCATATTCCAGGTAAGTTTTTGTAATATATTAAAACAATTGTTTTAGTTAAAAATAATTGTTTAATAACCAAGAATTTAATTGGTATAAAATATTTTTATTAACAATATAATCATCAAAATATGAATAACAATTCGTAAAATTTATAAAAATAAAAACCCCTTAAATATAAAATTTTTTTCTTAGCTTAAAGTCTTAACTAAAGTTGATATTTATGTATTCGGAAGTGGTTTAATCGAATGTGGTAAACTGAAATATATATTAACTAAATCATATTTCGCATGTTCTTAAAAGCGGAAGATAAACTTAGATAAAATTAAAGAAAAAGTAACAATTATAATAGTGTCCTCGTACTAGTCTATGTTAACAGTATTTTTCTGACTAGTACTCACAGTACAACAAAAAATAGCTTCTTTTTTGTTGGGTACTACTAACTTTTTACAATATTTTCTCTTAAAATATAGTAAAAATCGACATTTGTCAGTGTTTAGTATTAGAAGAACACAATATCGAGTAGATATATTTAAAAAATCGGGGTTTGCAAACTTTTATTAAGATGAGTAACACATGGTATGACTAACCGAGTAAAATATACAGGAATACAACAAAAAATACTAAGATCAATTTAAATACATTCGTTTTTTCCTCTTATTCAGCTCTATATATCTATTTAATCAGCCTTAAACGCCCACTCTTGGGTATAGGCCTCCCCGTTAATATCTATTGGTCTCTATTTTGGGCGATCTGCATCCAGTCCTTTCCTGCCGTTCTCTTAAGATCGTCTGTCCATCTTGTCTGTGGTCTTCCTCTTTTTGTTTTCTTTCCCATGGTCTCCAGTGTAGAATTCGCTTATTCCATCTTTCATCTTTTTGCCGGAGAGTGTGACCGGCGAAGTTCCATTTAAGTTTTGCAATCTGTCTTAATACATCGTTCACCTTTGTTTTTTCTCTAATCCATTAGTTTCTGTTCCTGTCTTTAAGCCAGCATCTGTCTTTCCATTGCTCTTTGTGTTTTGGATATCCTGTCGATATTCTCCTTTGTGAAAGTCCATGTTTGTGAGCCATATGTGATAACTGGTAAAATGCACTGGTTGAATACTTTCGTTCGCATATATTGAGGGAACTTTTTATTTTTTATTTTTTTTTATTCAGCTCCTCTTCCGAATTAAAACAACATTCCGAACCTTTAAAATATTTAAACAGCAGCATTTAAGATGTGATGTTGACAAATGTTTCGATTGTATTAGACAATCGACAGAAAACAAATACATACATTCTTGTAACAAACTACATCATCTCGCTATCTTGGTATTTGCAGAGATAAATCTTTTTTGGTTTTCTATACTCACCTTATGAGTATAGAACGAGCAAACCAGAATAGAAAAAGATAGAGCCAGTCTAAAAACAGTTGTAAGAACTGCTGAATAATCTCAGCATTCACAAGCAAATTTGCAAAAAGTACAGATCAGAAAACGAAACTTGTTGAAAAATAGACATTTTCAATATATAGTATCAGAAAAATCTAAAAACTTGGAGGTATATTATTATTTATGCAAGTATGTCAAACAGATTTTATTAATTTACATGGAATTAAAAATCGAAGACTGATAACCCTCAAAAATATCTCAAAGATAAAGGAGGTGTATGTCATGATAAAAGGTTAAAGCACAAAAACCATCTTCACAAGGTTACAGAAGAAATTTTGAGCAAAATACACAGTCATATCTCGAGATTTATTCCCATTAAATTGATTTATATTTAACTCCCATTACAGTTTAAAAAATGGAGAAGAGTATATCTTCCAGAAACACTAAACATTACAAAAATGTATAAAATGTTTGAACATGAGAATTTCAGTTTGTACAGTGAGCTATGAAAGTTACAGAAATATTTTTCTGAAAGATTTTAATATTGGTTTTGAATACCCTTTGGATCTGATACATGTAGCACATGTGATGCAGCAAAAGTAAAAAATTGAATCTTTAGAATTCAATTAATATCATCACGTGAAACAGAACAGTAAGGTAAATTATTATCAGAAATGAAAAAAAAAATGGAAACTGTGGACAACTTACATAAGCTAAGAGCACAAACTTTTTACAATATAAAAAGGAAAAAAAAACAGAGGACTAAACAGAAAACTAAAGACCATATTTACTTTAAACCAAGAGAAATATTAAGAGGTTACCATTTCAAATTAAAGAGGGAACAGATGACAGCAAGGTCTATGGTTTAAAAATAAATCTGATCTTTATATATTTTATTTAAAATTCTGCATTATTTAGGACCGCATTATTTATTGTTTCACAATATTGTTTAATTTTTAATTGTGACTTTATAATTTTTATTAGTTTTATTATTTTTTCTTTGGTTTTAGGCATAATAGGAGCTCGATCGTCTGCCCTTATTTGTTTTATAATAATAATAATATCAACATTTTTATAATTATGCCAGAGTAATAAAATGACAAGTACTCTAATGACTAAAGACTAGATTCAGAGTCAACCCTGCAATTTCTTTTGTCTTGTTTATACTTTCAAACACCTTTTTTAACACATTATGGCTACAGCATCTAAAACAGTTAATTATTAATGATCCATAATTATTTGATTATCTGAAAAAATATTATTCCGATACAAAAATAGTAACTTCTTTTAGGCACGTTATCTAAAGATGACAGTCGAATCTTTGGAAATTTCCTGGTGGCCCCCTGACTAACCTACTTTTACTTTTCCATACATCCTGAAAAAGAAACATTATTATTAGTTACTCGTATGCGTTCTATATGTTATTTATGAAAACGATGTTATGTTAATATTATATACGTACTATGAAAGACATTGGCATTCCACGTTTCATAGTTATGTTTTCAACTTCTTTTCTAATATTGTCCTGAACTGTTCCTGTGACGTCAACAAAATCGCAATTTGTATCTGCAAAATGGCATGATATAGCTCGTCTAAAACCCTGAAACAAAAAATTGTATGTAAGTAATCCCATGACATATGACCGTCGGTAAAAAAAAACCGAGACAATTACCTAACAGAGGAAAATTACAAATTGGAAACAACAACTTTCAGCCATTTAGGTGTGACGAATGGATTAACGCAAAAAAAAACGAGTAAAAGAAAGAATCGTAAGAGAAAACTAGGTCTTTGACAAACAAAGTCAAAGTCAAGAATTTATAAAGCCAGCGTAAGACCATTAATGACATAATAGCAAGAGATAAGTCACCAATCAGCAAAAGAAGTATCGGGCGACTGCGCAAAGGATGGAGTGACAACTTTCCATAGAGGTATTAATCCGCCAATGAACAAACAGAATTGCTTATAAATAGGAAAAATAAGAAGAAGAAAAAAACTATAATTAGGCCATAACATGACTAGAAAGTACGAAAGAAGAGCGAAATCAAACGTAGAAGTAGAACAAGTATTGAGTGAAAAAAGTATAGAAAAATTTACTTATCGTAAACGTACCATTTGAATGGTTATTAGGATATATAATGAAAGGATCACCAACAGACATAATTAAAATAATCACAACCTGGATTCTAATGAAGCACAGAGACAGGGAAATGCCGAGAAGGAGATGAAGAGATAATATAGAGCAAGATATAAATTTAATGATAATATCAGATCAAACTAACAATGCAATACTTGGGTCATGTGTTGAGAGGCGAAAGATATGAATTACTTCAAGTTATACTGGAAGGAAAAGTACAAGGCAAAAGATCAGCAGGAAGACGCCAGAACTCATGGCTGAAAGACCTGAGGAGATGGTTCGACTGCTCATTCGCAGAAATCTTTCGCACAGCAGTTTCCAAAACTATAATTGTCATTTGGATCGCCAACCTTCGAAAGTAGACGGCGCCATGAGAGGAAGAAACTAACAATATATAGAACACTCATCCTACCAGTGCTGACATGTGGGTCAGAAACATGGATAATCTACAAAACAGACGCAAATCGTCTGTTCGTCTTCGAAATAAAGATAGTCCGCAGAATAATGGGTGCAATTTGTAAGCGAGAGCGCCCACCAAACTGGCGTGACATGTAACATGGCAGTGATACAGCACGGAAGTGGTACTGGCGTGACACACCAAAAGTAGCATGACATTAAAAAGGCTAGTTAAATTCAAAATGTCGAAACGTAGTTTTTGGGTACACCCTTATTGGAAAGAGATGCAAGGGCATAGTAGATTTAATGTATTTAAAGAATTGAAAAATTCCGGACTTGTGTTGTCATAGATACCTGGAATTTTCACAATTAATGAGATTAAACGAATATTAAATTTTGGACTGTCTTCCATATTTAATTTTTTTAACAAACACACATGCACAATGCAAGTAGCACGTGGCAAAAAGTATAACAAGCTCTATTTTTAATGACGTGGGCGTAGCAAGCTGCATGACGCCAATGTCACTGTCATTTTGGTGTGCGCCGAATCATTCGTTTGCATTTTACACTCTGTAACATGCTAGACGCGCGCTACTTGCTACTTGCCATGCCAGTTTAATGGACACTCTCTCTAAGAATGGTATTTGGAAAAGGTGATATAATTTCGAATTATACGAGAAGTATAAAGAAATAGCTAATAGTAGACATGTAATATCTTTTATATGATTAATAACCCTATTAGCGGCACCAGTAGGAAACAGGAGTAGAGGTTGGAGGTAGATCAAGACGGAGATGAAGGGATGGTGTGGACTAGGATGCGAGTAAAATCGGCGCGGCAAACTGGCAACGGTTGGCGATGAACAAAACACAGAGCTACAAAACTGTGGAATAAGATTGCTACTAGTGCTAGGGCACATCTGAAACTATTAAAAAATAATAAAAAAAAGGAGTTAGCAATTCCATTGTAAGTAAAAACGAAGTTATTCATGTAATTACGACCAAATGTATACTTTAGTTTAGTAACCATGGTAGTACTAGTAATAGTAACCTAAAGGATGTGACTTGACCAGAGAGGTAGACTACAAGAATAGAGGGGGCTCTATTTGCCATCTCCAAATCATGAGGCTTTACCAAGCTAGTTCTCAGGCGAATCCTTTTAAAAAAGGCCGAGGTCGGACATCTCACAATTTTTTCTTCTTAAAACATTGCGATTTTCATATAGAAAACCTGGATCAACCAAAAGTTTCTCACGCTTTAAGGTACAGTTCCATTTGTGAGTAGCATCTTTTAGCAAGCCCATTCACTGAAGATGATTGGTGAATGTGAAATAATCCAAGAGTATGAATATTATAACCCCCTGCAGAAGTCACGAACAAGGTTACATATGTACCCCTCTCCGCTTTCGTCATTTCCCCCACCACCAACTTAGTCTGCCTTTCTTATGTGAAAATTGAGTCTGATCAATTCTCATTATCATAATCAGTAAGATCCCAGCCTTAGTTAAGCCTTGACCATTTTATGTTTATTTCGCCAGTCCTGCCCATCAATTTCATTGACGTCCGCGTCTTCATTTTTTTCAGCTTCTACTCCTATTTACCACAGGCAGCCATATAGCGTTTGCCTGGTAGAAAAGTTTTCATTTTCTCTTGACAGGTTACATATTTTCATGAAGGATATTACATTCTTGTCTTCTGCTAATCTCAGAACCGTCTAAAATTGTCCCTTATAAGGTCCCGATACCTGGTTCGTTTCACGAATAACGGTTAGACACTTTTGTTCATTAACTTTACATGCTAATAGTGTTAAGATGCGAAATTATAAATCGTTAAGAAGAATCTTATTTAAACTTACTTGAGAGCGATTTACTCCAGACCCGTGTAACAGTAAAGGATGGAAGAATACAGTATCACCTTTATCTAATATTACTAACTGTTTAGGTAGATGGTCTTTATCTTGCACTCCGTGGTACATAACATTATTTGTACCCTGCAAAATAAAATACAAAAATAACACAACATACTGTATCGTTCATACGCAGCTTACCTCAGGATATCCATGTGGTAACAAAGGATTATTGATGTGAGATCCCGGTACAACGTACAGGCATCCATTATTTTCGTCTACTCTCTGCATCGCTGTCCAGGAAGCAACGATTTTATCAGCTGGTCGAAAGGGAAAGTAATGAAGATCCTACGATAAAAAAACTTTAAGATGTATTCACAATTTTTAATAAGCGGAGAAATAGATAAGACCGGTTGACAGATTCAAGTTTTCGATATGTGCCGAAGCATCATTCGCATATTATCGATGGTATGCATGGAAACTTTATAATAGAATGAAAAATGGAGATCCATAGACAAAATAGATCATTGAATGAGAATTAACCGAATGTTACCTCGACCAAATTGTTTTTAAAAATAGAAAACAAAAAGTTAGCTTATGTGTGCTTAAGAAGAATATCGGAAATGGAAAAATACATCTGATCACTGTGTGACGTTATTTCATTCTTAGCGTAAAATAACTTTATTTACGACTTTTTGTTAAAGTATACTTCTGCTTTGTATTAATTTGTCTTGATCGTATGGGAAAATACGATTTTTCCTCCCACTAAATGGGAAATCAAATAAGATATCATTACAAGCAAAAATCTTCAGAAAAACACCTAAGACGTGGTCATAGCAGGAAACACAAAGATGACAGGAAAGGAGGAACCAATCCAAAGGAGAAATCGTCTACCTACGAAACCACTTCAGGCTAAACATCACGATACATACAGTAATGTTGAGCGCCGAACTACTCTAGTACGGAAATTACTGCATTATTCGCTTTAGTGAGCATTTAATGGACACTATTTGATGAAAAAGCAACACGATTTGCTTCGACAATGAGCATACATACTTTCAACTAAGACACATATTATGTTACCTGATGCATAGGATGTCTTGATATATCTGGGTCTGTATCTGGAGGTTTGTTGATCAACATAGAATGCGCAACTGTTATATTTGGTCCAATTATACTTTCCACAACATCTACTACGCTCTTTTCCAGACAGTAACGACTCAAAACTGGATCCATGACAAAATCTTGAAGCTGCAATCAAATTCGGTTAAAAATGTTATCGAAGTAATAAGAATAAGTAATAAGTTTTGATTTAAGTTCAGTAATGATAGTATAAATAAGTTACTAAAATTAGGTAGCTCAACAAAGGTAAGCAATCTTTTTAGTCTAATATACCACTACTTCGGTTTAAAGATATTCAAAATATTATAAGTAAAATTGTTAAGGGGCCAATTCATAAGGCGTTCCATATCAAGGACGTTCAAAAACAACAGAAACACAAGAAATGTTAAAAAAAACTACAAGATATCGTATTAGAAAATCGTCGAGTAACTGAAAATGATTTATAGAAGCCCTAGGTATCCATTGGGCACTGTAATCAATATTTTGAATGAAGTATTGAGATTGAGAAAGCTGTGTTCCCAGTGGCAGCCACATGCGCTAACAATGGAACAAAAACACATACGATTGCGACTTTGTCAACAACATTTAGAGCGTCTTTGAATCGATAAAGTGTTTATTTATATGTAAAGATTTATTGTGTGTGGATTCATAACTATGAATCAGATTTGAGTCTATCACTACGATCCTGAATTAAAACAAGAGGCTAAAGAGTGGTCTGAGCCTGATTTTTCGGCTCCGAGAAAAATTCGTGTGCCAAGAAGGTGTAAGTATTAGTTTTTAGGATGCGAAAGGAATTTTGTTTGTGGATTACTTGCAAACGGGTAAAACAATATGTTACTCTCACTTTGATGGTGGCTTCTATAGACAACGTAATTGTCTGTAGACCGTATTCCATCACTGGAAGGATGCTACAATTAAAAAACTGTTGTCTTGAGATTTATGACAATATTAATATTAGGACAGTTTTAAGTTTGCCAACGGCAGCCCATGTCGTGCGGACTCTTCGGTCTACTTCTTTGTGTTGGTTTTCTCTGTTTAAGTTTATTAAATGATCCAAGTAAATGCATTATCTCACTTTCTCCCCTGCAGTAACTGGAACTACTTCCAAAGTAAGAATCTTGCTCTATGTTAGATTTACTGTGTTATTTTTTCTGAAATAATTTAATATATTAAATTACAGTACTTTGTAAGCTGTATTTAGTTGTCACATATTAGTGGATCCCCTTTCTTGTGAATAGGTTTTCTAACACCTACATTCCAACTGTCTGGGAGACTTCTCTCCAAATGGATGCAACAAGTTTTATTATGTAGTTTTTTAGGGCGTTTGCTCCATATTTGAACACTCAGGTATGGTGTATTAATATTTAAACATTACAAGAAATATTATAAGATTTGATAGAGAGAGAAATGAAACAAATACTAAATTATATACCCATCGGAAGAGGAAGCGTAGGATGATCATTGAAATACCAGAACTGACAAAACTAATTCATCAAAATAACTAAGTAATGAAATGATCTATTAACATGAAATATAAAAAAATATCCTATTTCTTAACCATTTATAAATAAATATGTTAAATCGATATTTTCTTACCTTGTTCATGACCATCTCTCCCTTTAAACCTCTTTTCCTTAGTATTGGGTCCTTGATTACAAAACATTGCATATCATCGGCACGATCTTCACAAATGTCAATAAATCTCTGACTAAAACATTAATAATAATACTTGATGATAGTTTATATATTTATACAGATTAAGTAAAAATAAAACAGAGCATAGATATTTAATACATTGTAACTGAACTAGGTAGGAAACAGTTGACCAATAAAAAAGTTATAGTTTATTCTACTACTATTCTGACTCTGGCCGTGGAAGCCTACGATTTCAATAAAAAAGTTAATACCTTAATACCATAAATTATAACGAAATTTAAGTTCGACATGTAGAGAATATCGCCCCAACTCCTAACTGATTAATTAATGAAATGAGGTTGAATGCTCGAATCAATAAACTTTGAAAATAAGGCTATTATCGAGCACAAGTTAATTAAATCTAGCCCAAGTACTTTCGCTTAAAATAGCATCTTCAGGGGCATTTCGTCAAAATGTAAACTATCCGGCAAGCGTAGAATGTGGAAACATTAAAAATAACATAAAATTGTACAAAACACTACACTAAAACGAGGACAAACAGTTTAAAATTACTTAAAGATTCTACGCTACATTCTCTGTCAGTATCTGGAGGGATAATCATTCATCATTATCTTGTGCTCGATAATAGCCTTATTTTTAAAGTTCCTAACTGATTCACTACCGCTGCCGATGTGCCGATATCGGCACACTCACATCTCTGTGCTCTATACTGAAATGTGATGGTCCGAGAGCTGGTGGACATTTTTGGGTAAGTATTGGGCAGGCAAACAGCTGTCGATATACGCTCTCGTCCACACTGCAGCTTACCTATAGAGCTCTTCGCTTACACGTACGCGTAATTGTTTTGATCACCTGGCAGGTACTATTTTTTTATTTATTTGCAAGATAGTTTTGCAGCTATCTTGGAGAGTTAAAAACCCTCGCAAGTCGCCTGGCTTTTTATTTTTTTATGTTACTAGTTGCCCCAAATACATTTTTGGTAATCATTTATTTTATAATATATGTTTTTTAAAGGGATTGTTAAACGCCTGCTACGCTCCAGCTAAATCTGCATTTCTGTATTAGGATATTATGGTTGGATATTCTGGTTTAAGAGATGCCTGAAAAATGTTCAGAATGACTCAAATAGAGAGAGAGAGCGAGAGATAGAGAAATTTATTGTTTTTAAAATCAGTTTACATTTATAAAAAAACAACATGGTATTGTATAAACAAGGCACAAGATACATTAAAATACTAATTATAAAATTTTCACATATCAATTTACGCAACTGTCCTCAAAAAATTTCTCTATACTATAGTAACATTTAGATAATAAAAACTTCTTGATTGCTCTTCGGAATACAAAAATATTGCTTGAGGATCTTATATCGAATGGTAGGTGATTAAACGCTTTCTTACCAGTGTAAATAAATGATTTTTTAAATAATGCAGAAGAGGGAATTGGAAGTGAAATAACCTAATTTAGAGGAGTGTTATAAGGGGAACCTGTCCGAATATCCTCTTTATGTTTTTTAAAAATTAAGCACGCTAATTCAATGATATACATGATAAGGAAGTGTCAAGATACCATGTTTCCGGAACAGAGGCCTGCATGATGTACCAAACTTGATCTTGCATAAATATCTGAGTGCTGTCTTTTGTAGTATAAAATTTCTACTGAAATGATGAAGAGAACAGCTACCCAAAAAGACAATACCGTATTTTAAATTAGATTCAATCAGGGCCACATAAACACTTTTTGCAATCTTGAAATCTAAATGGTGAGCAACTGATTTGTTGTTTTTTGCCCAATTTTAAGTTTATTATCAATATAGAGACCTAAAAATTTGTTTAGAGTAATGTTGTTTAGATCATTCTTCAAAGAAATTAATTTGGTTTTTGAAATTAAATGTGAGATAATTAGCTTTGTACCACTCAAAGATTTTTAGTATATCACTACTAACAATCTTGTTCAGTACCTTAGAGTCCTTGTTTTATGCATATTTCATCCATTTTATTATTTTGACATTCGCTTTTCACTTGTAGGTTAGGTGTGTTTGTTGGCAAGTTATTTGTTTTGTAACAAAATTGTCGACATCTGATTGAATTGGTTGTTTATATTTATTTTCAATGTTTTTATTTTTTGTGTCATTAAGTTTAATTGGTATTTCATTTTTATCTTTGGTGTGATAGTTTTTTATCTCCGTCTTCAATAAATCCTACCCAAAAATGTCTACCAGCTCCCCTACTAGGATGTATGACACAGGCAACCTATTTGCGTGAAAATAGTTCAGAATGCAGTAGTCCAGTCGAGTATTTGATTTTTATAATATAATTCTTTGACAATTATGGTATTGGAGCACAAATTAGTCAAATTTTTCATGTCTGAATCGGAATCAATAGAACGATATAACATTTATTTCAGTATCTCTACTTCTTTAGCCGTTCAAGCTGATTCCGATTCAAACCAATGGGTCTAACTAATGTGTCCATAATCTTCCCACTTTCAGTGGTTCGGGCACAGAGGTGCCACCTGCTTTGGTGAAGAAGAACTAAACAATTAAATAAATTGTTTTCTGTCCTCTGGCATGTCGAAATGTTCAAATATTAGTCGCTTTTAGCAACAGCTTTATATAATTAAAATATAAAATTAGGTAGCGCCCACTATTACAAGATAAACAGTATAAACAAATATTGTTGAAAAAAAAAAAAAAATTGGAAATCAATATGTAATCGAATTTATTCCATTTGGCTGATGGACACTAAATAATAAAAATAATAATAAGAAAAGAGTAGCAGAAAAAACACTTACTTCAAAATCTCTATTAATTCAAGGCTAACGTTTTTTCTTACTATTATAAATCCATTTCGTTCATAAAATTGTCTCTGAACAAGTGTCATCTTTGAGCTGGGATGTGTATACCTATACGTCCTAAAATAAAATAATTAAAATTAACACTGATTATCATCAAGAAAATGAATATTAACAAAATAAAGAATATTTTTAACATATTTGTGAAAACTGGCCATTTTACGTCTTTATTAGGACAAATAAGTTAATAAATTAACAAAACGGTGATATTAAATCTAGACAGGCTATTTCAGAATCTGAACGGTGGGTGGGTAAAACTCGACCCGTCACAAAGTACATCATTACCACTGTTGACTCCACAGCCCAGGATGGACATTGGCTTGTTCAATTCATCTTCTCCACTCCAGTTTCTAGTTCATCTCTTGGACCGGTTTCCTACTATGTATTGAATTAGGCTTATTGCCGGTTCAGAGGATCATACGCTCCACATTACTCATCCATTCCAGTTTTCCAAGCTAAATAAATTTTACCACATTAGGTTCTGCGTAAGTTTATTCTTCCTTACGTTCCATCTGCCCGACGGAGGTTGACAATCATCGTGGCTATTCTGAATAGTTGATTAATATGCATCTGTACCATTCCCTTAAGTTATGCAGCCATGAGATTCTTCTGCTTCCTTTACTTCACCCACTCTGGATCTTCGCTTGTATAATCAACTGTATCTCTCTATCAACGTTGTATTTCTCTCACCGCTTATAACATGCCCCAGATAATGCAGCTTTCGTGTTTTGATGGTTTCCATTATTTCCATTCTTTTGTTAACTCTTCTCATAATTTCGTTGTTTGTTACATGTTCTGTCTATGATATCTTCAGAATTCTTCGAAAAGAAAGAAAGAGAAAGCCTTTCTTTCATTTGTAGACCATTGAAGTGTTCGATTGGTGATTTCGATGGTAATATAATATCCTTTACTTGAATGAAACAACGTGGCGAATAATGCTACCTAAAGTTAAATATAAAACTTAATATGCGTAATCAGTGAAAAATATCGGTTCTATGAAATTCTGTTTTTTGTCTATGCTATAAAGTATTCTGTTCCTATACTCAAGAAATGATTTGGTTCTGTTTTTCCATATAAAAAACTGAACGTTTTAACTCTCACGGTTTATGAGTTTACATTTTGCTTCACTTCCATCTTTTTTGAGCTCCATATCTTTGTAAGATAAACTGACGATATGTAAGGATTCATATATGAAATGTCTTCAATAAAGGATGAAGTAGTGAATTTATTTTATTCTCCAAATTGTGACCAAAAACCCTCCAATATCTTAAAGAACTACAGTATTGTGCGAATTAATGGAATCACTGTGAATTTTGTTCATTTTTTCAATATTCACAGTTGGCAACACTACCTACACAGTTGACAGCTGACCAAGCATTGAAAACATAACCTTACTGTGTGTTGGTGTGTTTGAGTGTGTTTTAGGTCATTTCTTACCAAGCTTGTGTTGTTTTGGGGGTTTTTGTATTATTTTGTGTTGTTTTTGGTTTTATTCCAACATGGATATTACGCCTAGGACGCGTGAAAAGATTGTCACGTTGAATGAACACACTAGTATGTCACAAAGAGAGATTGCTAGAACGTGTGGAGTGAGTCAGGGGGTAGTAAGCAAAATTTTGAAGCGTAAACGAGAAACGGGATCAGTGGACGTGAAAAGGTTAGGAAAATTTGGAAGAAAGAGAAAAACAATACCAGCAGATGATAGATTTTTACTTCGAAAGAGCAAATTGGACCCAAGAAAATCAAGCCAAGACCTACAACAAGATCTAGCAGTATCAGATATAGTGATTCATGACTCAACTGTTCGTAGAAGACTTTTGGAGAAAGGTAGAAGGGCAATTCGTCCACAGAAAAAACAGCTTCTAACTGAACGAATGAAGAAACAAAGGCTACTGTGGGCCAAAAAATACTCTAATTGGACTGTAGGCGACTGGAAAAAAGTCCTATTTACAGATGAAACCCACTTTGTAGTTCAGGGACAGCGGTCGAAATTCGTCAGGAAGTCTGACAATGAAAAGCTTACACCATCTCATATTGATCAAACCGTAAAACATCCAGTCAAGAAAATGTTTTGGGGATGTTTTTCATACATGGGGGTTGGATCTTTGGTGCCAATTGAAGGCATGATGAACAGCCAAAAATACAAATCCATGTTGGAAAAGTATTTGGACAAACAACTCCAAAAATGTCAACCCCAAGGAGGAGCGATTCTTCAACAGGACTCTATTCCCTATCACAAATGAAATGATGGCAAAAGGAAATGACGGCATTTTTCAAAAATAAGAAGATTAATGTTTTAGATTGGCCCGGTAATTCGCCCGACCTCAACCCCATTGAAAATTTATGGGCCATTTGCAAAGCTAGACTACGAAAAATCGACTGTACCACTAAAACAAAAATGATAGAAGCGGCCATTCAGGTTTGGTATCGAGATAAAAAGATATCTGACAACTGCCAGAAACTCATAGAATCTATGCCAAAACGGGTAAAAGCAGTAATTGCTGCCAAAGGGGGACATATTTCCTACTGAATGATGTAAGTTTACCTTTATAGTTTTGTCAAAATATAATTTTTTACTAAACAAACTGTTTTTTCATTAAAACAGCCTATGATTCCATTAATTCGCACAACACTGTACATATTGAATCTACATTGGCGGTCGACGGTCACGGAAATACTGTAGCAAGTGCGGAAGGGCTCATTCAACTGGAAGGGTTGATACCTATCAATGCATAGTTTTCTTCATTTTTTTTTTACTTTGAATACAAATCATTAAAAAGATCCACAAAAAAATTTAAATGTTAAAATCATTTTCGCTGACCACAAGTATTTGACCTGTAAACCGGAAGGTGTGTCATATACAGGGCGTTGGAAAATAATTGCAAAAACCTTTAGGTTGTTATTAGGTTGTGATAGAATATCTCAATGGCTACTTTTTTCTTAAAAAAAAATTCAGACCATTACCTGTATGTGCGCCAATGATTAATATAAAATTTTTAATTGTCGAAAAATGCTTAATAACAACTACCTCAGAAAAGGCAGCATTTGCGGACACACGTTTATATGGAAAACTATCATTATTTTTTTATGCAGTATCACACCCTAAAGTTTGTTATTGTGCAATTATTTACTAACACTCTATATATGATACACCTTTCGGTTCACCTGTGGCGTACATTTGCTCATCGAAAACGCCTGTTAAAGCGTTAACAAAGGAAGAGAATACAGAATTGGAAACAAAGAAATAAAAATACTCTGTAATGCAGACGATGCAATATTGGTAGTCCAAGATGAAAATGAAAAAGCATTTGACTGCGTTAATCATCAAAAGATGATCGAAATTCTGAGAACAACTGGAGTTGACGAACAAGACTTGCGAATTATCTCAGAACTATACTGGCACCAAACGGCAACAATTGAAATAGAGCACACAACATCCGAAGATATACAAATCCAACGAGGAGTGAGACAGGGTTGCGTCTTATCACCGCTACTGTTTAATTTGTATTCGGAGTCTATATTCAGAGAAGCATTAGACGAGGTCCAACGCGGAATTAAGATTAACGGAATCAGCATAAATAACATCAGATATGCGGATGATACCGTCTTAATAGCAAGCAACGCACAAGAACTACAAAATATAATAAATGCGGTAGTTCACAACAGCGAAATGTTCGGTTTACAAATAAACGTTTCTAAAACTAAAACTTAAGTAGTTTCAAAGACACCATTAAACGTACATGTGTATGCCAAGGGTCAAATAATAGAACAGGTAAATTCCATAAAATATTTGGGAGTCAGATCCAGTTTGGGATATCAATAGTCAGTAATCCAAAAAAAGAAATTCTATCAGGAATTGAAGAAGCAAGTAAAACATTCATGAATATGAAAACATTTTTACACGATCAGAACTTAGTCTGCAGCTTAGAATCCGAATGATCAGATGTTACGTTTTTTCTGTCTTACTGTATGGCTGTGAAAGTTAGACAATGGACTATGAAATAGAAAAAAGAATAGATGCCTTATAGATATAGATGCCTTATAGAATATATAAATATATATATATATATATATATATATATATATATATATATATATATATATATATATACAGACGAATGTTGACAATTCCATGGGTACAAAGAGTTACTAATGTTGAGGTACTTCGTCGCATGTGCAAACAAAAAGAACTACTAAGAATAATCAAAGAGAGGAAAATGCAATACTTGGGTCATGTGCTGAGGCGAAAAATATGAATTACTTTAAGTTATACAGGAAGGAAAAGTACAGGGCAAAAGATCAGTAGGAAGACGCCAGACCTCGTGGCTGAAAGACCTGAGGAGATGGTTTAACCTCTCATCCGCAGAAATCTTTCGCGCAGCAGTTTCCAAAACTGCAATTGCAATTGGGATCGCCTACCTTCGAAAGAAGACGGCGCCATGAGAAGCGAAAGAAGACGGCGCCATGAGAAGAAGAAGACGAAAATAGTCTGCAAAGACTGGTCCATATAAGAGCAAACGAATTTAATAGGACAATCTCATGGTTACCGTACTTATGCTAAGACTCACCATCACTATAAAAATTTCTAGCCTTACAGATATACCGTTACTCGAAGTGTTCACTAGCTCTCCTACTATTAAACCAAATACAACTTAAGTAAAAATATTACCTTTTTGGGACGGACGTCTCTGCCGTTTTGTAATATTTAACGATATCTGGTAAACTTGGACATTTACTCATTTTTGTTATTTGCTGAAACTGACTCACAGTCACTTGAAGCGTTTTTGAATAAAACTGTGCCAATACACAATTTTCTGTCTTTTATTCTCAATAATATTAATAAAAAAATACCGACGTCAGTCTCGTGGAATATTAAAAGTAATTACCAATAAGTACAAATAAAAATAAGCTTGTTACTAACGTGCAAAAAATGAGAATGAACTGTAAAAAGATAAATATGCTTATTGTGGTAATTTCAGAGAGGTAATATATTTTTCCCGTAGGAAAAATGTTTCGGATTCGGTTTCTTGCGGATTATTGTTCAAAAATGTCCCCTTTAAACAAATCTACAGTGTGCTAGGCGAAATTTTTGGACAGAAATTAATTAAACAATTTTTTTAACAAATTTCAAAAATCCCCTTTTTTTGCTCCTTTTTTTAAGTTTCTTTGTACCAATTTAAACAGATAAGGTTTCTTGTAATTTTTCTCTTTAAATTTTCGAGTTACAAGGGAATTGAAATCTGAAAAAATGCGAAAATATGCATTTTTAAGGTATTTTGTGGACACAAAAGTACATAATAAACACCCCCTGGCGTCTAGAGTATTATTAGCAAACTAAATAAGGTTATTTTATTTTGTTCTATTATCTACCATTTTACATTCATTCTTCAGTCACAAGAAATTTATTAGAGAGGCGGTATTAAAGGTCTCATCCCACCGCACTATATAAGTATTCTAATTAGTTAGTGCTAAAGAAGGCGGAACTATTTTTGATACTAATTGACTTTTAAGTATTTCCTTTTTATTTTACAATTCGTCACAATGTATAAGAAATGTTCCAGCTATCACCAATACTGTAAATAATGATTCACCAATAGACTGTACTAAATGTCTCATCCCACCGCACTGTACTATTTTAATTAATTGGTGCTAAAGAAGGCGGAACTTTTTCGGTACTAATTGACTTTTAAGTATGTTCTTTTTATTTTACAATTTCTTACAATGTATAAGAAATGTTCCAGCTATCATCAATAACGTAAATAATGATTCACCAATAGACAAGAGAATTTACCAAATTAAAACCTTTTTCGTAGCACTCTTTCACACAGGTATAACAACTGCTTTTGATAAATTTCGTTTTTGTTTTAAAACAATATCTAATTAACCCTACAGCAGGCGCGCCGACTACCGTTTCATAACCGGGCGCGCTGTGTATTTTGTACACAAAACATTATTTTAGTTGATTTTACCAAATTCAGTGCGTTTTAACAAAATGACAACCACGATTTACAAAAATAGTTTATTGTTACATAAAATAATAAACATAAAACATGTACCTACGGGTTACTTCACTCGATTTCTTCTGATTTTTGCCGTTCATTGTTCTTACATTTTACGCAGGTAATTGTGGTTCCTGAATGCATTTTACATACAAATATTCTACATAGCCCACATCTAACTGTTGTGCTGAAATTTTTTGAGCCTGGACATATTGCACAACGTCCACGTTTTCTAGAGCTTTGCACTTCTGTTCTAGTAGGTTCTTCACATGATTTATATTTCATTAGAAAACCTTGAATATCCTGAGGAAGATATAGCATTGTCGCTCTTTCTGAAAGATGTACTTTCATTAAACTCAAGCTTAAATTCTTTAGAAAAATTCGGCGACATATTTTGGGATTTGTTTTATTGGCACAAAACAACACCTGCGCGTTGATACCCGCCATATACATTAGAGAAAAAAAATATAATTAGTGGCCATCTTCTGGTTATTCTTTTTACAGAATATGATGCACACATTTGGTCAATAGTATCCACACCGCCTTTTGTGGCATTATAATCTAGAATAATTTCTGGTTTTTTAGTTTCGACGTCCATGGTGGCAGTGTCATGCATCGTGGATAAAAGTATGACCGACTTACTTTTTTTGGAACAAATGAAACCAAAGAGACATTTTTCTGGAATCCAAAGAGTGACGTTCCCACTTCTTTTTGTTTTTGGGGTAAAAATTCAATAGGTATTTCCCTTTTTTCTTAAAGTGCCAATTGTAGTTATTTTATTTTCCAAAAGGGAAATAGCTAAAGGATAACTGGTATACCAATTATCGGTTGTCAAATTGCGATTTGAACCTTTTATATAATCAATAAGCCTATCTACAATATCACTGGGAGAGTTTGATACAGCATAAGGCCCCTCAGGTTGCCGTTCACAATAAACCTCTAAATTTCCAGCAAAGTAAGTTTGTGCACCGCCCAAAATGAACAGGTTGATACCGTATTTTGCTGGTTTATTTGGTAAATACTGGATGAAACTACAACGTCCTCTGAATCTCTCGTTTTTTTCGTCGAGTTTTTCGTCTATTGTAACAAATTTACCAAGACTATAGGAATTTTTACAGTTTCTAACAAATGCGTCCAATATTTTTCTAATTGGTGCAAGTTTGTCAAATATTTTCCGTTCATGTCTTGTGGTTTTGTCATCAAAGCGCATTGAACGTAACAAAAATAAAAATCTTTTGTAACTCATTACAGCTCTAAGAATTTCTATACCTGTTCCATCATGTGTCCAAAGTTCAAGTGCGTTAGTATGGTTAGAATTTTTAGTGCCTAGGAGGTAAAGCACTCCCATAACACCATTATTTCACTTTTTGAAGTATGTTTCATATCTCGTTCTCTTTTATATTGAACAGATTCTTTTTTACTATCAATGTACAAATTAGTAAATTGTACGATGTTCTCTAATATATCAGAATCTATAATTTTTTCAAAAGCTGAAAGTTCTGAGATCACTTTTGAAGCCACTGCCTTTGGTCCTGAAAGTATTTTGATATTTTTCTTTTTAATTTTTGATTGTGACGACAGCGGAGTCTTACGCCATGCAGTTTTTTATCTTTACCTTGAAAATATTCGAAAGCAGTTGTACTTACTGCAGTATTATCATCGAAGTTACTGGCTCTGTCGTGGTCATTCTGTTCTTGTTCAGATTCAGAATTGTGGTCATCATGGTGTATTATTTCTTCATCTGTCTCAGATTCATCGAAATATTCTATTTCACTAGTTTCTGTTTCTGGGTCTTCATTAAGAATTTTATATAACTCAGCCTCAGTTAAAAACTTCTTTCTAGCCCTGCAAAAATAAAAAAAGTAACACACAAATAATATAACAATTCAACTAAATTCTTACATGATATTCTCTCAGCGTAGCCGTTATATTCCTTCTCAATTATGTTACAATATCCTTTTCAACCTAAAATAAAGTAAAACTAAAGTTAATTTGACTTTAATTTCGAATTACAACTTTTTATAAAGTAAAATAATTAATGGATAAAATACTTTACCTACACTGCGCACCTACACTAGAAAGCGCGCCGTGTATTATGTATATAAAACCGTCACACTCTCGTATTTCTAAGAATTCTCACAAAGCTCAGCTGTAACAAAAATATTATTCAACTATTCGAACAACAGATATCTACTGGACGAATAGACGCGACGATATCGCCAGATTGACGACACTTCTATTTTTAGACGACTTTTTCTATTGGACGTGTACAAAATACACGGGCGCGCCCGCTCGAGGGTTAACAAAATATGCAAAAGATTAAACGTCATTTTTTGCTTAGAAACAATATATAAACAATGATCGGCTATTTGATTTTAAATACTAAAGTTAAAGACCGATTTTTAATGCACGAATCGGAAATGAAATAGTTCCAGGAGTAAAACAAAGATTTAATGAAAACCATGTCAACGCAAATGGAGAACTCATGTTTAATCTCTATGTTTTTAACGAACTGAGAATCAATAGTACAGTTTTCGACCATAAGCTCCAGTATAAATATACATTTGAAAACTCCAGGGGGCATAAATCTATGATTGATTTTATAGTCACTAATAGCAAACGAATGGGAAAGATATAACGTATATAAGTCATACTGAACAAAAGAAACAACAACAATACAGCATGGTTCAGAATACTAAGAACTAAGAAAAATCACAAAAAATGCCATCGAGTACAACAAACCAGCATATCTATGTTTTATAGACATTGTAACGAAAATATTTTGCCTACCGCATGGGGTATTAATACAAGGGATAGAAAATTGGGGACTGAAACTAAGGGGGTGGAGATAAAGCAAACAAAATAATCGTTACTTGTGCTAACGGCACTCAGGGTTTGTTAGAAGAGCTGGGGTCGTGGATAAGTAAAAGATAAGGGGGGTGAAATGGGGCAACTACAAAAATATGAAACAAAAGGTCATGAATCTCTTGGAACAAACAAAGCTAAAGGAAACACCTCTAGTAATTTAATATAGGGCGCCATTTGAGGTGCCTAATTATACCTATTACAATCACTAGTTGTAACTAGGGAAATAATTATAAAACATCAAAAACATATCTTTTTCAAATAAAACTAAAAAGAAGAAGTTAGTTAAAAAAATAAACAAAATGTTAAGAAAACAAAATTTAACATTTATTGTGTCTTACCACAAACAGTTATAAAAATAATGGCACAAATTTACAAATAGATCAATAGTTACAGAGAACAAGAATAACAAAAAAAAGTTAAATGTGTCCTAGCCGTTTACAAACTCTGTTGCTACAAAACTTACAAAACTGAATGGAGGTTAACCTTTTTTTTTTAAACAAAACAAATAAAATTAAAATAATATAGCGAACTATCTTATGTTAACATTAAAGTTTAAATCTACGAACAATTAAATTAACAGTAAAACTCAAAACCCAAAATTTACAATATTTAACATTACTACTTTTTAATTTTAAAGAAAGCAATTTAATATTAAAAAAAAAGTCTGTCTTTACTTCAAAATTTGAAACAAAATTCACCAAATCACACTTTGAATGTTCTGGAACCATAACTGCAACTAACTGGAACTAAACAAGCTGCTTCAACGCAGGAACAGCGAGATTGAAGAAGAACTTCAACTGGAACATCAGAATTACTGCAGGCGACACAAATCTCTTAAATACGTTTCTTTAACCTCCTCTGTAACTAGACATACTTCACAATTTACTGTCCACTGCTACATAATTCCACAAAGAGGGG